AAGCGAACGAAAATTTCCACCGAGAATGCAATCCCAGAGTTCAAGCAAACGCTTTCCCGAGCAGAAAACATCGATGCAATCCACGACGCTGTGCAGCAAATGGCTAAGATCATTGAGACCCAGATTACGCACAGTCTCGGTCACTCGAATTACGACCGTGTTATCGAGGGCCTCGGTACTATGCGCGAAGAACTGGTGGACTACGAGGAACCAGTGGTGTATAATGACTTTGTGCGCCAATTGAAGGGTAAGGTGCTGCGGGAGGAGCTGGGTGGGGATCGGAGGGAGCTGTGGTGGTTTGTAAGGAAGGGGAAGCTCGGGCTTATTGGGAAAAGTGAGGTGGATAGCTCGGCTGTCGAGGAAGAAGAGGCCCAAGAGGTGAGCTTTGATTTCTTAGTGGGGAGTAGAACGAGTGCTAACGCTGCATATAGTTTTTCGCTACCAATTGAACGGTCGAGTGGGTGACAATCTATGGTCTCGATCTTGGAACACATGAAATAGTGCGTATGCGAGAGATATGGAATACTCATGATATTTTTACGCCAAATTTACCCCCATGTAGATCTTGTTGCGTCCGTGATGTTATATAGAACGCGGTTGAAGCGAAACAAAGTTAAGAGTCCACCTCAGATGACTGGATTCGATAATACTGACCATCTAGATCGAGGGATACAAAATTAAAAGAGTTTAGGGAGAAATGGGACCACTGATGGAGCTCATGCAATATTGCCATATCGACGTAGAATTGACACATACAGGAGCGAAACCCGCAGACGAAAACATGTGGCACGAAATGAATCGGTACCCAATTGCAAGGCATCTGACGATTCGACAACAAAACCAAACGCCGCGCACAACATGCCCAATAATAACCAGTACTCGCTCGAGAAAACAACAATAGACCGAGATTTGCAAACTCCAACATTAAAAGCATCCAGATGCATCACGGAAAAGGGGTATGCAGAAGTATTGCCCGGATGGGACGAGAAGAATGGAAGAAGCGCCTCGAGGAAACTTGCACAGTTCCTTGGGGCGAAAGAAGAGAGCAGGACGTTTAGTGGATGGTCTTGATTGCCCGTGCGGGGCTGATGGTATTGCTACCAATACGGCCACTAGGCTTACGAACACCGCGAGACTCGCTGCGGGTGTTTTCCGTTGCCCTGCGAGGGCTGGAGCGAATCTTGCTAACCGAAATTGGGGCAGCGCCGCTCTTACGGGTCACAGGAGTCTTGGGTACAGAGTGGTCAGCCCAGTTTTCCTGATCCTTGTGGTTGTCTTCTGCGAGGGTGTAGCTGGCTGTGACGGTAGCAGAGTAACTGATAGACCGTGATGTGGGTGAGGCAACAGGAGATCTAGATGATCGCTGGGCTAATCGGCGGAGCTGAATCTCTTCTTCGCTCTCACTGCTCTCGTTGCTCTTCCTGTGACTGCGATGGCTGCGCTGCTCGGTTTCAACAGCGAGAGATCCGGAGACAGTTCGGGAATAAGGATGGTGACGCGAGTCCTTTCGGTGTGACTTGCGAGGCTGGCCAGGAGTTGGTGCAGGAAGATCCTGGTCCGGGTAAGTTGCAGCTTCATTGTGATCAATCTCTCCAAGGGCTGCGCGTTTGGAGTGACTATTGTTTGGTGGGGTGGAGACAACCCCGTTACTAGTGCGCTTCTTAGTCGACACTCGGGGAGTAACAGGTATGGACTGTGCTAGCTTCTCGCGCATGCTATCCTCAAACCACCATTCACGGAAGGCACCTTGGTTGAGGTGGAGCCAGTGCTGCTGAGGTCCAACGACCATACCGGGTCGCATGAATCTCATGAAGGCAATTACTTCATTGGCGGTGAATCCATACTTGTAGATCAGGTAAGCGCCAATCAAGCAGCCCGTACGGCCCAAGCCTGCCTTGCAATGAACTGCGATACCCTTCTTCTTGGTAGTTATCATCTCATGAGCCATCTTGATAAACCGTCTGACAAGCTGCAGGGGAGGGCACGTGCCATCCTCGAAAATCATGTCAATATGGGCGATTCCCATTGCGGTGAAATAAGACGGGCAGTAGAGCTCTGAGTTGAGTCGTACAACGAGACCGACGTTCCGCTGGTGGAAATGGGCCAGAACATTCTTGAATGGCATAGAAAGCTTCGAGGAAGAGATTTCCGAGATGGTTGTGGGCAATGCGTTGTATTCGGGGGTGCTGACAGGAATGGGTGCCACGGGCTCCTGCTGAGGGGATGCAAAGGCAAGGAAATCCGGCGTAACCCAGTTGAAGTCACCCATGTCGACTCGCTCAAATTTCTCATACCTATTGAACAAAATCAGTACTCAATCTTCGGCAGTATAACCAGTGGCACTTACTCCTCGAGATTGAAGTCGCGAAGTCCGCAAAGAGACTGCTCCTTAGCCTTCCAGACTCCATAAACGACATCTTGAATATTCAAAATAAAATCTGCCTGGCTGTATCCAGCATCTCGGAAAGGCATGTAAGGGGGGTCTGCCTGTGCGATGGGTGCTAAAGCCAAATGAGGTGGCCAAGATTGAATCATGACCATATAGCATGCAACAAGGCAGGCCGCATTGGCGCGACTCCGGGAATCAGTCTTGCTATAGAAGACTACTGGGCGGTCGCTGTTGGCTGGGTCGCCAAGAATCTCATGGAAAAGCACGGCAAATCGGTAGAGGTGACCAATGTGGAGTGGGCCGAAATCAGCGTGAAAGGCATTGTAAAGAAGGGTGTCATCGATAGTGAAGTAGACAGGAGAGCGGCGCTTGCTTGGAGTGGCGGGCTGGGCACGTGCTCGCTTGCTTGGGGATTTAGGTGCGCCCTGATGGAAGGGAAACGGGGTTCTGGAGCTGGGAGCAGAATCATAAGATGCAAGGTATAGGCGATCTAGGTGGTAGTTTTTCTTAGCTCTCTATACTAGGTAAAAGACATTCAAATTGTCCGAAGAACGTTGTACCAACCTTGGATGTACTCGATCATCTGCCCGCCGTGATTGAAGTCGGTAGTCATATTGGGGGTTGTTTGTTGACAGCCGCCTAGATCTGCAGTGATTGTGGAACGCTGGAGCGAAGGCGAATCAATATGGTACCGTTGCAGGTCCTGATGTTGTTTTGGGGTGACTCGGAAGATGGCGAAGCCAATGGTAAGAAAATAGTCGCGGTAAAAGTCAGACCTAAACGTTCATGATCAAACTGAGGGAAGGAGATCTATGAGCATAGAATGTTAAGGATAAAGAGGAAATGAAAGCCTGGATGCAAAAAGCCTGTACAGGTGAGGGGATTGGAGAAGAAGGAAATCAACACAAAGTCCGAGTTCATGATGTTTGGGGCAGCTGCCATGCCACTGTTATGTTGTGCCTTACCTGTTTGGGCCTAGTTGCAGCCGTTGACGTGACAACGCCTTGGCCTCAGGCATTCAATTGTCTGCCTTCCGCATTCCAAAACATGGCAACCACAACAAACAAACAATATAAACACCACAAACTTCACAAACGTCGCAAACACCACAAACATCAACATCAACATCACTCATTATTAGCTCACATCTCATACATCTCATACATCTCCTCTCCAGTTCGTACCCCGTCTTCAGCTTTGCCTCCTGATTGCACATTCCCATGTCAAATTATATGTTTGGCGAGTAATTGATTCATGTGGATAAACGAGCCCAAGAACAAAGCACTCATGCGCCCCTCTACTTCCATTTAGGTAACGAGGGCCGGTATATCATCCTCGTGATGGTCACTGCGGTATCAACCTAAAACAAACCATCGCACTGAAAGGTGATGTTCAAGCCGCTGCTCTCTAACACTGCCTGAGATTGAGTGACCTATCTGGTACAGAATATGCAGTTAGGGCCTCCAAGCTGCATTTTCTTAACACAACATCTGCTCAATACAGCGGCTTCTTGACGAAATTTGCTTCATGTTGAATATTCTCGATGGTGCCTATCATGTTCAATGGTTGTGACGGTACAACACTCGACCAGTCATCTCCGATGATCCTGGGATCACAATCTACCTGAATGACGTCTACTGCATTGCTTTGTTTCTGTAATAGAAGACAGTTGCTGAATCAAAAAAGAAACTTCAAAAAACAACATAGATGGTCTTCGGTTTCCACTTCCACTTCCAACATGGTGTGCCTCCACATGCCATCAAGTACCAAGGGCAGGGTGGCTGCTACAATCTCGGCAGAGGCTGTGGCTCATGCAGATTCAATGCAAGGACATCCCTCGGACGATGAACTGTATTTGTTTCGAAGCCAAAGTGTTCCATTCACGATTCAGTACCCCTGGGAATGCGGTGATCGACACAAATTTGGGGCCCCATATAATGACCCTTGCCTGAGCCTACCGTCAATCAATATACACCCCTCACTTGAACTTCGAGAGTTCCGGGTGTTGTGGTATTATTCTTACTCTGATGGAGCAATATTTGACTTGATTCCACAAGTTCGAATAGACCATGCTGAATCTCCCACGCAATATTCTCTGTAACTATGAGGCTGTGAGATAGTCACCCCAAATATCCTGCAAAGAAGAACAAGCTTCTACAGTTTATCAGCCTGCTTTATCCGGCCCAACCTTGCTGAAACTTATTCATCTACACCACTAAACTAAGACCTGCTACTCATCCTAACTCGAGGCCATGTAGGCACATACATCCCTTGTTTCGCGCAATCTCCGGTGAAATGAAACTATCTGCGCGGCTTTCTAAACTGCAGCCCGTTAGCGCCAGTCGTGCTAATCAAGTACCTTAATGGACAATACCAACTACAGTCAAAACATCGGTCCTAATAACCCCAAATGCGAGGGGCTCTCAACAATCGTGCGGGGCACTGCCAAAACAAACCCAGTGAATTGTATATAACCCGGCATTTCCATCCAAATGTGTGTCAATTTCTATACACAAGTCATTCATTCACTTTCAGTCACTCTTCTTCTACCTGTACACTTCCTACACACCAATTCACTCTTTTCACCCGAGACTCCACCCACATCGAAACAATGAAGTTCACTGGATTGACCGTTTCAATCATCCTTTCTAGCCTATGCTACTCCACCGCTCTTCCCGTCCTTGGCAATGTCGAGGGTACCTTTTCTAGCATCGAGGGTGCGGTTGGTGGTGTCACAGGCTCTGCTCCTAAGATTGCTGCGCCCATTACCTCAGCCACTCACGGCCTACCTGGCACTCTCAAGCGTGACGATACCGCTGCCCTCGGTGGGACTGTCGAGACCATCCCAAGCCTGGCCAATAGCGCTGTTACTGTCGCTGGCAGTGCCGTTGGTACCGGTGAAAGCCTTGTCTCTGGTGCTGCTGGTACTGCCGAGAATGCGGTTGCCGGCTCCGCTACGAAGCGCCAGCTCAACGACCTTGTTGGTAGCACTTTAGGAAGCGCTGTTCCTGCCATTATCCAAGAATCCAAAGCCGGTGGCCTGGCTCGTGCCCTCAAGCGTGACGATACCGCCGCACTTGGCGAGACCGTCGAGACCATCCCAAGCCTTGCCAATAGCGGTATTGCCATCGCTGGCAGTGCCGTTGGTACCGGCGAAAGCCTTGTCTCTGGTGCTGCCGGTACCGCAGAGAACACTGTTGGGCATACTTAGTCAACTCGATATGCCTCATATTATGTCGTTTCTTCCCGCATGTTGGTCATTTTTCGGGATTTTTCATGATTATTGATCGATGTTTCGTGTACAAAGCTTCAAGGTGTCTTTGGCACTTCTATAACTCTCAAATGTGTTTTCTTCTTTGCCTTATTTTTTCCCCAGAACTTAAAACCAGTGAAATCGATTGAGTATTAGGATTTTCTATGATTTTCTTTAGGCGTTATTAGGGGATAAAAATAAAAAACAATTGACGCTTTCTTCAAAATTTTCGTTTCGCAACAGTTTTTGTCTAGCCGTGGTCACCCAATACCCGAATGGGGATTGTCCTGAAAACTGACAATCTAGTCAGCGTAGTTAACTGCCAAGACATCAAGACCCTCCATTTTCCACCTTTCTGTTTCCCCAAAAATCTTCAGCGCTACTTTACCTGTTCGGAACATAAGAGATGCCTTACACTGACTTCCATCGACCGCATTATGATTCGAATCCATCCACCGTCTTTGTTGACTCAGATGGATCACAGGTCTATGAATCGCCCCACCAAGGTCTACTTTCCCAAATCATCTCACGAAACGATTCGGCAGCTCTGAAGTCGTATAACGATTGTCCTCATACCTATGTGTTCTGGAAAAATTACGAATTCGATGAAAGCAATCCGTTACACATTGCCATCTACAACGACAATTTCGATATTCTGCGTGAGCTCGTACAGATCTAGTCCTTGGATACAAGCTTGACACAGCCCTTGCAAGACTACATCAAAAGCCATCATGTCTCTCCTGTTGTAGAGGCTTGTGCAATTGGTAACCAAGAGATGGTGCTCTGGTTGATGAACCATAATCCCTCGTCAGGGACATTGGAAGATCGGGATTCAGAAGGTCACACAGCGCTTTTCAGAGCAGCCGAGGGCCTGAAAGAAGTGGGCACTATGATGATGCAAGCACAAGATGAAGGAAATGAAGCGCTTCCAAGACCAAATCTCGATCAGCGTTGGGCGCGTATATAACCATTTATTGGTTGGCTTCTGAACATGAACTGCCCTATGGAGATGGAAGACGAAACGAATGAGGAAAATGACAAACAACTACTAAAGGACGAATGCGCCTACACTAATGTTCTACCTGGAACTGTACTCGGTGAAGCTGTCTCCTACGCAAGCTACAATCTAGTCTCACGTCTTATTTCCAAAGGAGCAGATCCTCATGCATTCCAGAGATGGCATGGCGGCAATAGCTTTGCTATAGAGAAAGCGGAAAAAACAACACCATTACACATTGCTGCATTGTATGGAAATGCCGAAGCCATCAAAGCTTTGTTTGAGCATCGATTACCTGGAAAAATACAAATAGGGTGTCTATCGTCGATGATGAGGGACGAATCCCGCTACATTGGGCCGTGGCAGGAACTCACGTGGATACAATCGACTCTTATAAGATCACGTCGCGGATGGTAGCTAGTGTCAAGTTACTCCTTGATTCCAACCCGGATACTTTTCACGCTCGAAACAAGCTTGGCGCTACAGTCTTCCATTACGCAGCCAAAAACAACACAGGTAATGGGGCAAATATTGAGGCCATAAGCATACTTCTGGAAGCTGCTCGGGATTGTTCAGATATGCTCAACTCGCGAAATAATTCTGGGGTCAGTTCTCTTGGAGAGCTAATCGATTCTCACCAACTCATTCCCAGTGGTCTGACACACATGGAAGGGATTACCAGGCTTCTACTGAAACACGGAGCTGATGCGCGGCGATGTGACGAGGCTGGACGAAATATTCTGCAAAAATTATGCAGCCTTGCTTGGCTGGAGCCAATCAGCTCGACCTTTATAGACCAATTACTCCAGCAACTTGGTGTCAACGAGAAGGATGACTGTGGCTGTACAGCTCTTCACTATCTCGTAAAGAACTTCGATCAAGCCGATGCTATCCGACACTTTTTGAGTCACGGTACAGATGTGAATGCAGTTGACAAGGAAGGGAGTACCCCCCTGCACGAAGTGATGAAGGGTACAATGGTTCGGAAACGGGATGACCCTACTAGTCTTGAGCAACTTCCTATGCGCCTCAAGAATGCACAGGATAAGATCATTCAAATGCTATTGACTTCCGGGCATCTGAAGGAATTGTCAACGGAAATGGAGAAACACCGAGACAAGTACAGAAGAGGGTTTTAGAAGAACGCGCTCACCGATTGGCGGCGCAGAAAGTCGCCTGCGGAAGGGGTCGAGGAAGAGCAGTTCGGTAGATAGGATCGTGTTTAGTGCAATAGGCTACCAGTATGTTCTCATTCACATCAGTAGTATCAAAATTAAATGTTCCAACACCCACTTTGATGCTTGACCTACAACGTTAATCACAATCTAGGCGTACTAATGTCATCGTTTCTATCTGTGACAGGAACCAAGCATTCTTTCCGATCTTCCATTACCTACCTCGGAATAGGGGTATGAGTAATATTCCGCAATGTCCTCTGGAATACTCTAGGACATACAAACGTAGAAATGAAAGGGTTGACGCTGGAGGTGTCATGCTGTGTAAACCTCCATGGCTGTGCTTGCCAATCTTACTATTCAATTCTGTCAAGTCTGTCTCTTTTTCTTCTTCCCTTTCCTCAATATCGCACCCTTGGCTTTGACATGATGCTTTCACAATCTTCATTCCCTGACATGCCTGTACAACCCATCATTATGAACACACCTGATTCAATGCAATCCACGACCCTCATATCACTCCCTGGAAGAAGAAGCGAACTCGACCTGTTCGCAAAGCCAAGAGTTGGATCGCGGTACAAACGCCAAGAAGTCAATCATTCTCGACGAGTTGGGCGACGCATTGATTGACCAATTCTATATCGCCAGTCTAGGGGATCGTTTGGAGACACCCAATGTATCCGTTGTCGAGCATTTGCGCACCAGCCTTCATACAGCACCGATTTCCGATGTCAGCTCAGCCAGCAGCAGCCACGCCTTGACTGTCGTCGAAAGCCACGTCGAAATTACACCTGCAACAAGTCTAGACGAGGATGATACGTCCCTGGGATCGCGCTTTCCGCATCCTCTGCCGTGATCGACCTTTCTGAACAAAACGGAACAGCCCCCCGCCAACAAGAACGATACTGGGTAAACGACTGCATTGGGATAGGGCTAGCGTGGTGCATTTTATTAAGGTAAGCTGCTGACTTGGTTAACTAGTTAACTAGCTGCTCTCCAACTTTTGCTCAGGCAAGCCCTTGAACTTATGTAATACTCAGGCGCGTGATCAGTTTTAGTTACTCAGTGAGCAAAAAGCGGCTAGGGGTAAACAGGTCAGCACTAAAGCGGAAAGGGAAAGCCATGTCGCGCGGCCTCAAATCCGGTGTGTACAACATATGTTTTGGATCGATGTCAGGTCCACCTGCATGCCTTGATCACCTACGCATATACTAGTAGTACATAGACACACAGGTCACTGAGTCCCGCCATATATCCGATCAAATAAATATCACATATATTGAATGGCTGCTAGTGACATCTTAATGCATCTTAATAAAAATCTTGACTCTCCAGGGCTAGATTGCATCCATGGATTGATTACAGTCAGCAATGATTTGGAATAATGTTATGTACTGCATAAATGTACTGCTTTTGAACCAATCAGGTGACTCACGAACATAAATCAGGAGACAACCCAATCAACAATCGGCTCGGACGACTTCCTATTCCGTCGGCTCCTTGGATACCCCGTGGCCAGCCCAGGGCCAATTGGTAAGAAATTGAACCAACCGAGGTCAATTCATTATCAGGAGAATACAAGAAGAAAGTCATGTTCGCGTGTTCGCAAATGTCTACTCTATCACATTCTGCCAAGTCTCTCCGGTCAACTTTATCAACGACGTCATCCCATTTATCCCCGCGGACACTCCAGAGACACTTCCCTGTTACCTTCCCTATTTTCCGTCAAATAGCAACCATGTCGTCTGCTACATCGTTCTTCGACTTTGAGCCTCTTGATAGTACGTACAATTCACGTGGTGTAACTGCCAATATTCTTCCCTCATCATACCCCAAATATAAGCTGCGAAGAACCTAATCGCTAACCAAACCCCGCATACGAACAGAAAAGGGCGCACCCTTTCCTCTTTCCTCCCTGAATGGCAAGGTCGTGCTAGTTGTCAACACAGCCTCGAAATGCGGATTCACGCCCCAGTTTGAAGGCTTGGAGAAACTTTACCAGGACCTGAAGGCCCAGTACCCCGATGACTTCACCGTCCTCGGATTCCCGTGCAACCAGTTCGGCAGCCAGGATCCCGGCTCGGACGATGAGATCCAGTCTTTCTGTCAGCTCAACTACGGCGTTACCTTCCCCGTGCTTGGAAAACTGGACGTGAACGGCGCCAACGCTGCACCCGTGTGGACTTTCCTGAAGGAGCAGCAGCCTGGGATCATGGGCATGAAGCGCGTCAAGTGGAACTTTGAGAAGTTCCTTGTCTCCGCCGATGGAAAGGTTGTGCACCGCTGGGCTTCCCTTACCAAGCCCGAGGGACTTCAAGATACAATTGTTAAGGAGATTGAGAAGGCAAAAAAGGAGGGCACTCTTGCTTCGTTGAAGAAGAGTGAGGCTGGTGCTGAGCAGGCTAAGCTGTCGTAAGGCTGTGCTTGAGGTGTTATTTTCTGAATTATTGTGGTGATACCTTCATCTGTTTCATTGTATCTATATTCTGGTGCTTCTGCTTGTGACATACTCCTTTTCGGTTTACGATTTCGGTCTCCGATGGAAATCAAACCGAGCAGTAATAGTAATTCATATCCCAGTTTCAAAGCTCTTGGACACCTGTTTTGTAAAATTCACCAGATCAGTTCATTGGATCTATATCCAATTCTCCTTAACATGAGGCCCGACTTGGTGGTATGCCCGATGGCCCATGATGCCCTAAATTAAGCAGAGGAACCACCCTTGGGAATCAGATTTCGTAGCGACAGATCGTAGACCACATCCTCGACCTTCTTGACCTGTATTGCCACACAAATTAGAAATTTAAACGGCGAAATAGACGCTGTCATGTTTTGAACGTACGCTGTACTTGATACCGTCGCTGCGCTTGCGCAAGATATCGTTCTTCAAGTTTAGGAGCTGGAACCCAGCGAAAACTTCCTTGACGAAGATGCCAATCTGCATGGGACGGGTGTAATCACCCAGAGTGACTGAGTTGACAGCCAAGCGAGCCTGGAACAAATTAGCTGTGAACAGACAGAAAAGCTCTGAGATTTGGGAAACGAACCAGTTCCTCAACCATGGCAATCAGTGCCAGTAGGTAATCCTCAATCGTCAGGTGGAAGGCATCCTGCTCCTTTAAGTTGACAGGAACTGATCAAAGAAATGCTAGTTAGTATTATTGTAATTAATGTATACATACAGCACCCGTGGTGCTCATCATAGAAAGAGATAAACAAAACGTACTGTCCAGGAATTTGCCCACATCATCGATAGTCATGAAAGATGTTGAGCTAGGTCCCTTGTGCTCTTGCAGTCCTCCCAGCCATGCGCAAAGCTCAATAGAGGCGACCTGATAGATTGGATCAGCATCAGTCTTCCGACATTGAATTTCAGAACACAAACCAGGTTTTGCAGCTCACGGGTCCATAGCCCGTTGTACTTGTAGAAGGGATGTTGATCTGCCACGGCCTTCAGACGAGCAATCTCTTCCTTTTGGGCAAGGATTTCCTTAGTGACATCGTCAAGCACGGGCTTCACTATTGTAGAAGTCAGCAAGACGGTTCACGAAGAATAGAGGATTAGTGTGGAATTCTGCCTATGGGAAAAGTGTGGGAATTTGAACGTTGTACGGTGAAGAAAAGAGAAGCAGTTGATCCAAAGGATGATACCCCAATCCTCTCATCAGACCACAGATAGATAATGGATACTTACACTGATCAGCGGGCGTAGAATGGGCCCGTGACAGGATAGCCTGTGTGGAACGCCCTGTAGCATTCAATATCAGTCCTCATGTTCAGCTTCAATCCCGGGGGTGCCGTCCGGACAGGGGCAGGCACCTGGAAAGTCACGCATTGTAGAGCATACCTCTTCTGGCGAGTGTGCGGACAATCTCATTTAGTTCCTATTCAATATTGTTAGCTACCTGTCGGTGTTCCTAGCTCAAGGGTCTTGTTCCGGTGTAGGCTTGGCGCGCGAAGAATTCACCGAAGTCAGGACACGCTTTGGTATGACTTACATCCCGGACAGTGCTCTCCTCGTCGATCTTCGCCTGGAGATTCTCGAAAATGCGTTGATCAATCATTTTGTCGCTTGGTTGTGATTGTAGATAGATATTTGAAAAAGTTGAAGGAAGGTGTGGTGTTAGAAGTGCGCTACGTCAAAATCCACGTTGAAAAAGAGGATAGCGTGCACAAAACAACGCAATTATTTGCTTACATCGAAAATGATATGATGAGATTTGATATTGCTTTTTTAAATATATTTTACTGTCGGAGGATACTTCCTCCAGAGTAAAGTGATCTGAGGCACTTTTCTTTTACCATGATTTACGACGCAGCCTACAGCTACCACCCACGAAACGATAATAAAGCTTTGGAGGATTTTCAGCTTCTTGTTAGAGATTTGGATCCCACAAAGAATGAGGCTTGTATGTGACTTGTGTCTACCCCCGATCAAAACGATTGCAAAAGAGACTCCTCCGCAGAAACAAAAAAGAACGCCAGAACCATGACCATATTTGCATATTTTATTGTTGCCAGATCAAGTCTAGTGTTCGTCGTAGATGTCGTAAGGAAGCGATACATACACTGGCCGGTGCCAGGGTAATCACGCAGCGATGGAGGCAATGCTTAGTATCGGTATCTGGTCGAGTAATCTGCGAAAAGTCAGTTGTTAGCGAAAGGTGTTTCTATTCTAGGATGGATATTGAATGTACCTTTGGGGCTGACCACCAGACCACGGCCCTTCTTGGCGCCCTTGTATATCGTCTCGATGATGTCGATCAACTCCTGCTTGTCCTCCAGCACCCAGTTCAACTTGTTGTTATTTCCTGTGCCGAAATCGCACATCATGTGCTTGTTGCGGTAAAAGAACATGATCGTCATCCGGTCATAAAGCTCGTACATTTGGTTGAAGTCCGAGACTTGGTCAAGGTCGCATAGGTAAATGACAGCGAAGTCTGGGGTAGGCTGGTTAGATCCTTTCGGTTTACTGTTGGGGTATCTCGGTCACTCACTCTTTACCCGCTCGGCGATTTTGTAGAGGAGCTCATCTTGGCGGATACCTGGGAGAATGGATTAGCCAGGGACGGTGGCAATGTACGTAGATAGCACTCACAGTCGGGATCATGATCTCGCCCGAATCGGATCACCACCAGGCGTTCTTCCTCAGAGAGTATAGCCTGGTCCACATGCCAGGCTGTTTGCAGGTGAGGGAGGACAATTGAACCCATAACGATGGCTGGTTTTGTGTCGATAAGAGTTCGCGCGATGGGAGAAATGAAAGGCTTATCGATTGGGCCCCGCGATCGAAGCTATTGTGTCATGTGACCACTTTGGCTGTTCTGGACAATGTTGTATAACTGGGGTGTTGCCTAGACTGTTCTGTTTATTTCTCAGTGCGCTATGTTAGAAATATCACGGTGATTATTCTAAGGTTAGGCTGTGTATGACCTCATCCAGGCGCCTCACCTAGGCATCTTGGGCTAAGTACTACACTGTAGGACGCATTCTATGAACTACAACATATATCACAGCTGGAGATATACAAGGTAACGCCTTGTCTAGACTGTTTAGTCTGTTGTGCAGTTGGTGTAGATGTGCATGGGTCTAATCCACGCGCCTCGGTATCCGATTAGGCAAGTACAGTGTAGGACGCCTTCTACCGATGACAGCTAACAGTTAGCGTCTATTCAACTAAGAGAAAAACAAGAGCATCGCAGTTTGAGATATTTCAATACCCCAGGGTCTACTCCGTAGTAGCCGATCAATCTAAAAGTCAAAGAAGCCAATGATGCCGAAGGCAGCTGGCCGAGAAAGTCTCCTAGGTTGATTCTTTCTGGTTGTATTTTCTGATACTAATTTAAGAGACAAATTTTACAAGATAAGAGCCCAATCTATGACTTCTTCTCCAAGTGCCCGGACTAGCCGAGCAGTTGATGAAAAAGAGTTCGTGTCGATCGGGGGTAGTGTAAGCCCAATGACACTGTGCAACGAGGCATGCGCAAGCACAGGGGCCAAGTCGCGGGATCCAAAAATAGGAATAATCAAAGTGTTTCCTGGACGGAAACTTTCAGAGATTAAACTGAAAAGAACAGATACTACACTTGATCTAAGCCAATAGGCAAAGAGAGCTGAAGAAGAAAGAAAAGAAGAGGAACATCTGGGGGCAGGGACACCTTCTTATACACAAATCGATGTGGGTCTATCACCAGCGAAATTAAGCGATCCAATCGGGGATAATGATCCCGAGACTCCGGGGATGTACCTGCTCAGGCTAAGCGATAGTTATGCTGACTCACCCAGCTGACTCATTGATCCTTGCCCTACCCTATATCCCAATTGAGCCTAGCGCAACACACCTCTGGCCGTGAATTTTTGCTAACCAACATTGGCTCCACCGCGAAATTTAGGAAGTTGTCTTGACCACTCTCTCGCCGGCGCAGGATATTCACCTCTTTGCGACCTTTCCCAATCCCCCAAAATTCATCTCCCCCCAATCCATTAACAATGGCTCCCGCTGCTGTACGTTGAAGTCCAAATCGCTTTGCTGTTCCCCCCACCGGAGTCTCTGCGGGCTCGTCTTCGACAACACTGTGAAACTCGGTATTGAAAAATCTATCGAGTCTCCCATGTTGTCGCAACCGAATCTGCGAGACTACCACCGGGGATCGACATTATGGAGCAGTAGGCTAATTTGATTCCATGTGGTATAGGCTCGTGGTCGCAAGGCCCAGAAGGTTACCCAGAAGTTCGTTATCAACGCTTCCCAGCCTGCTAGCGACAAGATCTTCGATGTCTCTGCCTTCGAGAAGTTCCTCCACGACCGCATCAAGGTCGAGGGCCGCGTCGGCAACCTCGGTGAAAACGTCGTGATCTCCCAGATTGGCGAGGGCAGAATCGAGGTTGTTGCCCACATCCCCTTCTCCGGCCGCTACCTGAAGTACCTGTGAGTTTATCTATTTCCCGGGATGCCTCCCGATAGGTTGGACTATAATTTTGCTGACCATTTCCTTTTCTTCAATTCAGCACCAAGAAGTACCTCAAGAAGCAGCAGCTCCGTGACTGGCTCCGTGTCGTCTCCACCTCCAAGGGTGTCTACGAGCTCCGCTTCTACAACGTCGTCAACGACGAGGCTGAGGATGATGAGGAATAAGCGTGTCGCTCCTGTCATGTATTGTTTCTTTATCCCGTTCATCGATCGGTTCTAGTCTGTGTGTCGCGCTTGGAACGTCTGTATGGATTGAAAGCGAGAGCCATGGGGGGGATAAGATTGGTCTATGAGGCCACGAATAAAACTAAAAAAGTTTATACCCTCATTCTCTTCCTAACATAACGCGCATGATCATGTAGATTGTCCTTGTGGTATCTTGTACAAGACAGTAAAAAATAAAAAACCAACAAAATACGTGAATTGAGGACGAGAAAGAGAAATACATATCCAAGATCACCTGCTGGGCTTTCTCTTCTGAACCGTTGTCCATGAAGATGTCAAGGCTGATCCTTAGCCATCCGGACAGACCAACTTGCCCCCCTCGATTTTTTGTCCCTTCTTCTTCAGCTCTTTCCATTTCTCGCCCACCTTCACTCTCACGAGATCGCCCGTAGCAACTGAATCTTCCTTTGAGTCGTGCCCATTGTCTCCGACCTGAATGTCGCGGCCAAGGTGCCTTTGAACAAGGGCCTTGAGACTTATCCGAATGGGGAGACCCTTGGGGTGGGGGTACAAGAGGACGGTGTCAATCACCGTAGGGTGAATGATACGGCAAGCGTTGAGGTCGTTGTCGATTGCATGACCAATAAGAGGTGTCTCGGGCTGGAGGAGCTTCAGAAGTAGATTGCGCGCCTCTGCGGGTGACTGAACAAGTTGCAAGGGTGGGTGGATTTTATTTTTCTCGTCTCCTAAGGATGAATGTATGTTGGACATCGGAGTACCATATGGACTTGCGGAAGCATAGTGTTGTGGTGTGACACCGGAAAAGCGAGTGTTGAGATCTAATACTTCGCCCATAGGCCGAACCAGCACATCAAGAAGATCATCGCCTTTAGGCCAGCTGACTGCAGTGAGACGAATCAGTTCGAGACCTAATGTCGTGTAGCCCATCTCGCAATCAATAGAGACCGGCTCAAGTGGTCCTTTTTCCGGCTGAGGCGGGGTTGTCTGAAATTGGAGGACGGATGCAAGTCGCTTGGTCTCCGAGACTTTGAACACATGTGTTTTGGCTCTGGTACACCCGGTAGACGTTCCCAGTGCTTCGCTGCAGCAGGGAAAGTAGGGCTGGGAGGGACCGGTGACATGGTCTGTTTTCTTGCGCTGAGGGTAAACAGGCCGTCCTGGATGATAGTCACAGTAGCCACCGCTGGCCAGGGTACCATCTTCACGACGACCCGGAAATACCTGAAATCGTTGACCGCATCTATCACATTTCTCCCAGCCCTTGGACTCATCAACGCCTCTCTTGGCAGTTTCTATATCTGCATCCGTGGGCTGCTTTGTGACATATCCATGTTCTTCAAGACCAGTGAGGGGTGTGACTAGCTGGGATACAACTGCAATTTCTTCTGCGGGGGTCAGGCCTGTGTTGATGGGTCTGGGAATCGCTCGCGGCTTTTGAACGGGGTTTATCTTATAGTATCGCGCGTTCAGATGGGACATCACCTCTTTGGCCCATTCGTCGATACCCATCTTTGTAACTCTCACGATTCGAAGTTTGACAACATTGCCGTAAACGCTTGGACTGTCCCTCGCAAATTTCTCTTCCTCGTCAAGGGCCATTGTGATGAGTTCGTCGGGGGTTAGGACAAAACATCTATTCGAGCTATGCTTGTCTTTTCGTAGCTTCTCATTGAGAGCAGTCATGGCAGAGTGCAACTTCTGGAGAATGGCAGTCCGACTGCCATGAGTTGCCGGTGCATGGGCAAGCATGCGAGGATTCAAAGATTCTTTTGGGGCTTTGCGAGGGGGAAGTTCAGATGAAGATCCAGCAGATGAGGTATTAGTGCGCTTCACAGGCTCGTTCCCCAAAGGCTTTGGTGTGCCATGGTTTGAGGTAGGCTGGGCGGTTTCTTGAGCTCCTGGGGTGTCTTGTGTATTTTGATTTTGCTCGGAGGCGACTGATTTCGATGAGCGGCGTCCCATTTCGAGCGATGATTCTTTCAAGCTGTGAGATGGAATGAGGGACCCCAGCAACTGTGAGTTTTCCACTTTGGCCCGTTTAGAAGGAGGGCCATCGTCACCTGACACTGATATCTTCGAACGCCGAGCCTCAGCTGGGGTTGGGTTATTATCATGAGAGAATATGCATTTCAAAAGAGTGCAATCCTTGCCTCGCGGGCATGGAATTGCCCCAAAAAGGCCGAGCGGCGTGAACATGATGAATGGTCACCAGATGAGAAGATAGGTTAAGATGTAGAAATCCAGGTCTCGAATGCAAGAGCTAGTAGGCCGATCACAATTTTTAGAAGTACCTAACGAATATGTATAGCTATCGCTGCCCAGCGATCCTTTTGTGTTTGTTTTGTGCACTGAATAGACCGAAACGATAAGCTATTGCAGGTAGTTAATGGGATCGCATTATTCAGCACTTGCTTAGCTAAAGTGCATTATATCAAACATAGCAACCGGGAGATTTGAAGGTATTGAGAGGTCAGATTGATATCACTTGAGGACAACGTTGGAGCTGTTCAGCGAAGTGGTAAGTCAAGGATGCAAAGAAGACAAACACTCACATAATGCCTGATATTTCAGGCAGAAACGAGTGGCATCCAGTTCATCTTTATTTCCTGTTGACTCAAGGTTTGTCTCGATGCTAGAGAGTATAATTCTCATTTCAATTGAGCCTAAAACTCCTACAACAATGAGCACACAGATCTATGTTGTACTTGAGGACTTCGCCGGCCATCGAAGTCCCTTATCGCCGATAGCTCCAGGCTGACACGGATGCGGCCTTCGGGTGAATAGACATCCGGTTGTTGAATACCAGGCTCCTTTTCTTCCTTTTGCCTCTGGAATCAGTTCCATTCTCAAAGACGGAATCAAGGAATGAAACAATGGCAGGTACTTCCAAAGCCGACCATCTCTGTGTCTTAGTTCACGGGTACGCTGTATTCTCCTTCTCAATGACGTACTGACGAGCCGCTAACGCAAATCTCCCCAATAGACTTTGGGGAAACCCTTCGCACCTTGATTACATCGCATCCGCTCTAAGAGACAGATATGGCGGCGAAAACCTCTACATCCTCTGCCCAAAAACAAATAGCGGCAACTATACCTACGACGGAATCGAGTTGGGCGGAGAACGAATAGTGCACGAGGTCGAGGAGACTCTTGAATCTCTAGCCAAGAAGGGACAAAAGATCACGAAAATCAGTGTGGTTGGATACTCGCTTGGTGGTCTGCTCGCGCGCTATGCGATCGGCCTGCTCAATGCACGGGGTTGGCTGGATAAGCTGGAACCTATGAATTTCACGACCTTTGCCACACCACACGTTGGAGTGAGAGCTCCACTGAAAGGATACAAGGATCAGATTTTCAATGTTTTAGGGCCGAGGACGATCTCGGCATCTGGCCGCCAAATGTGGCTGGTCGATTCCTTCCGGGATACCGGGCGGCCGCTTCTCTCTGTTTTGGCTGATCCCGAGAGCATCTTCATAACTGGATTGAAGAAGTTCCGGCACCGCAGTGTCTATGCGAATATCGTCAATGATCGCTCAGTTCTCTTCTATACATCTGGTCTCTCTAAAGTGGACCCATTCCGGGATCTGGAAGACGTGAATATCAACTACGTCAAGGGTTATGAAGATGTCATTATCGATCCTGACATGCATGTGCTTCCACCGGTGGAAAGAAACCCCGAAACCGCAGCAGCGCGATTCTGGAAGAAGATAAAATCGTTGACTCTTTGGGTACCTCTGTCACTCTTGATCATTGTTCTCTCGCCTCTGGCTTGTACACTCTTCCTGGTAAATGCCGGGATCCAGACGTTTCGCAGTTCAAAGCGAATTCGTATGCATGAAATTGGCGAAAACGGCGAGCGCTTTGGAAGATACAGAGTACCGGTTTTGGTCCAAGATGTTCAGCATGTCGTGGAGCAGGCCTTTGATAACGTCAATGCTATACAAGAACCCGCTTACCTGTCCAACAGCGATACTGAGGTGTCTGATGCGGCGCCTGAGAAGCCCGCTAGATCGTCTGTCTCGAAGTCCGCGCAAAGCGATGACACTGAGTCTGCGTCGGCTAGACGTTCATCAACGACGGAGGTTTCGGTGCATTGTCCTCAGCTTGCATTGACTCCCGAACAATTTGGCATCATTGATTCCCTCAACGCCGTGGGAATTCGGAAATATCCCGTCCACATACAGAAGCACCACCACAGCCACGCAGCTATCATCGTCCGGGTTGAGAAGGATGGGTTCCGAGAGGGTAAGATTGTGATGAAGCATTGGCTAGACAATGAGTTCGCGTTGTAATTTTAATTAGACATATAGCCGCCCTCGAGCGTTAGAGCATGCATGTATTTATAGTCTCGACATTTCATCAACTGATTATCGAATATTACTTTATATAACTATAGATTCATCCTAGCAATATTCAAAATTATGCTCAATTCCCGAAGAGACACCCGGCCAATTCCCTTTTGCCGACTTATTTTACGGATAACAACAACCCAAGCAAGCTCGTCCTCGCAATATAAGTACCACCACAGGGATTGTGATCGAGCCCAGCTATACTCGCAATCCTGGTACTACCCTCTTCAGCACTATCCCGTGGTCAATATCCGTAGTGCGGCATCAGCAAGGTACACTGTCCCTATTCTGGGGACCTAGGTTGGCATGTTAGTGATGGTATATCGGGTTAAAGCTGGAAAGTTAGTACCCTTATAGGTAGTTACCTACTGCTACCCTCCTGGATATATGTACTTACTTTTCAGTGAGGAATTATGTTTTGTCTGTTTAGTTTTCAGATCATTCATTTGGAAAGTTTCTTTATCATTGATCGTTCTGGAATCCATTTCAGGCTTCCGGTAGTACTATGTAGGGAAAACATCTAACCCATGTTGTAATTTATCTGCAAAAAGAACCGTGCCATGAATTGCGACACAATGCAGAAGTTCAAGAGAACAAGGAACAAGGAATCATATCAGAACAGGTCGGGGAAAAAACGGAGGAATGGACTAGATTGAGACCACGAAACCGGTTGTCGAGAAAACGCAGTCATGAGTGAAAGAAGATCACATCATACCGACTTATTTGGGAGGTGCTTCGCTGATGTCATAGTCGAGCTCGGAAACAGTTATTCCTTTGGAAGTCTTTCGATGCTCGCGCTCGATAGCAAACTTGACGGCATCAAAAACATTATCGCATATCTTTCTGGGTGGATAGCGTGGGACAGCACCATCCTGGTAGACTCCAGTCTTAACCAGAATGGAGAACCAGTCATTTTCCGTAGTCTCGTTAAATTCATTTGTGCCACGGATGTCGGATTCCGGAGTATCGCCAATGAAGTACACGGTAGACGGAGACTTGTCGATGCCACACGAGTCCTTTCGCCACTTTTGCAAAAGCCGGGTGGCAAATCCATAGGTTCCGAGCTGCGGCTTACCGAAAGCAGTAGTGTTGAGGTCTTTGCCTGTGATAGCCGCGTAAACAGCCTCGAGGGAAGCGCGCAGCGCTCCCATCCCAAGACGTGAATGTTCATGCGATGTTGACCAAACCACATCGGTGTGCGAGAAGAAGACAGGTGGGCCTTCAGTGAAGATCTCCGACCGTTTATTCAACCAGCCGTCTTTGCTCATGAGGCAGTCCAAAATGATTTGCTGGTCACCAGCCCAGTCGCGACTATCTGCAAAGACGAAGATCGCTTCGATGCGGACCTTGTCTAAATCGAGCAGCCGGGAATTTTGGTGCTCCTCATCCGTCAGCGTTCGGAATGGCGTAGTATCGTGTCTCGTCTTAATGATATCTCCGGGTGTGATGACATCCTTGAATCCATATCCTTCAGCCACGACCCGGCATTTTTCACCCTCGCCACCAACCACCAGGACGGTGTTGTATCGCTCTGCCATTTCGCGCATGGGCGTGTGGCCACAGATAAACTGGCCAGGGTCGACTTCCAGGTCGAGTTGTTTGCTGAGGTCCAGGCATCGCTCTTTCTCTGTCTTCCCGCCGCCGTTGGTCAAGAAAATATAAGGACTATAATGTTGCCGTTAGATTCAAATTCCTTTTCCGTCTTTTCTTTTTTTGCTCGCAACTGTTTCCCCTCGCCCTGTCCTGGGTGAGGAACCATGGAAATAACACCAGGGCAAATACTTACACTTTGACTCCGTAGGGGTTTTCGCCGTTGATATACTTCATAGCATCAACGGCTTCGGGAATAGGCTCGCCGCCCTTGATCAGAACGCCATCGATATCGAAGGCTAGGGCGAAATCATCGCTAGTAACCTTAGGAGGGTTCGTCATAGGGGTGTTGATTGGAGATTCCTCAGATGATACTTGATCCTGCTTGGCCATATTTGAGTTGAAGATATTGTCAGGAGTGAAAATCATCGAATGCTTAAAGACGACGTTAGGCCCATGGAGATCGGTCACCCTTTGAGTTCCTGATCTATCTGTGGCCATGGAAGATGAAGGGTGTGGGGCGGCGGGTACAATGACGCTGGCGCTGCCTTGTGATGAAGCGTTATAATTACTTCGCGTCAAATCTCTTACAAATGGGTGCCAGCTATTGAGCTAGCTATTCCGATATGTGCGCTGGGTATGCGCTTGAGGTGTAGGTTGCAGGATACAAGCAGATAGAGTTGTATGTTACTGTATAGAGTAGTGGGGGGGGAGGCCAAGGGTCATTAATATAGCCCAAGGCCCTAAAGAAAGAGGTTTTACATCATCGACCCTTTTACCCCAAAAAAATGGGGCGTTCAGGTTCAGACCTTGTTCTGCAGGTTTTTCTGGGCTAAAACAAAACCGGAAAAAAAGTGATTATCGATCCAAAACGGCAGGCTACGAGTCGGGTCGATGACGCTGATTTGGTAAGAAAAGAAGCGCAACTTCGGATTTACCAAGTGCGCGGGTTGAGGGCAGTGGAGGATTGACAGGTGTCGCAAATCAGGACCAATCACGAGGGTAGGATTTGACAAGATCAGCCCGCTTCAAGCCTTTTTGCTTGCTTTACACCTGGTCGCTGCTGCATATCCTTAGGAAGCGCCTCTTGCATTCTTCGGATGTATCGCGTATTTTGAATTTGACACAAAGGCCCCGCGGCTGCACCCACAGGACATATCAGGCCATTGACGTCATGAAACTGGGTCCCAGGAACGGAAATAAAAACCAGCAAATTAACACCCATGGATCTACGACTTATACCGTATGAAGTTCTTAGTGAGGAGTAGGGCCTAGACTGGGTATGTTGGCGCCGCCACATGCTGGCCGATACTACTGTACCTCGGACCAACATTTAGCATTTGGGCTAAGGAATGCAAGCCATAGCCAAAGGTCACGGTTTGGATAAAGATGAAATGTATTTCTGAACGCACATAAAATATAGGAAGAAGTTGGCGCCAAGAGCAGTCCGAGTCTTACTATTTTGAATGTTCGGCGCAATGAACACTTTGATGCCCTAAACTCGGTCTAATGAACTCGTGATATGCGGGATACCTGCCAGACTGAGTCAGAGCGCCAATACATGCATATCTGAGCTAATAATGAGAAAGGAAACCATGGGTTGTATTGTGTCTGTCACTAAGAGAGAGAGAAGAAGGAAGATCAAACAAGGTGGGGAGCAAGTCCTATTAACCTAAAAGCAGAAACAGTCTCAACAACTAATTATAGCACCATACGGACTGCAAGCTTTCGAGTCTCTTCAGCTGATGGAGGATTCAGCCGTGGTCAAGGGATGTAGGGTGCAACCGGGAGTATTCTATAGCGCCATATGCGGCTGTCAACAACAGCTCCATGTAGGTAGTCTGTGCGGTTAAGGAGAGGAAGGGTCACGATCACCTATACAAGCAAGTCTTGTTGGGTTAGGATGAGTCCGGACCTAGGTTAGAAGACCTTAATAAGCCAAGTCGAAAACCTATGTTTCCTGACGAATGTTTGGTTGCCTAGGTGTGAGAAATATCAAGATGTATCTGCTGGAACAAGATCACGATCGATGGAATCCGGGGAAGAACTCTACCGGCTTGTCCACTGAGTTGCTTTACTTTTATGTTCCATTGTATAGAAGAATGTTACGCTGGAATTTAATATGGATATTTCCGTGAGGCATATCACAATCGAATCATGAGATGCATCGGACCGGTAATTATATTATGTAAAGTCCTCAGGCCGAGATGTCAGATCCAGACTCCTCCGCAAGGTCATCCATAATAGCGTCAAGGTCCATTTCATGATCAATATCGGCCCAGTCGTCAAAGAATACATCTTCCTCTCCATATTCGTTCTCCTCCCACGGAAGTGCCAGTGGTTTGCTCGGATGGTAGAACATGCGATGGTAGAAGGGCAGACATTCGCAAGAACACACGTCGTATTTGGGCATATCAAGAGGATAAGGAACGGAGACCATTGACATCTCCACGTTTAGTTCCGCGAACTTGCTTTTCCAGGTGTTGCCCTCCTGACATATCTCGGTGACGGGGGGGTTGAATTTGGATTCATTGATTGATGGGAGATGCTCTATGATTTCCGGTACCTCGCAGGTAAAGCGACGCAGCTTTGGAAGTTTTCCGTCCTTCACCATCTCGTAAATAACCGACGGGAGCCAGGCCTTCACTTCATCGTATCTTATCGTAAGACTTTCGAGGTTTGGCGGTAGAATATCATCTAATGGATCCAGTTCTATGCATTCCCTCCCTGCAAGTGTGGCGAGGGTTGTTGTGAGATGCTTGAGGTGGACTAGTTCACCGAAGTCTGTCTCCTCATCACCTCCCCAGTAAAGATCGTAATCTATGTATTCCAGGGAACTGTCGTGTATGAGGGCCGATTGAATGTAACAATACGGTTCTCCGTCGGGGTCTATCAATTCATGTGATCTAGGTCCTCTGAAAGTAAATCGCTTCAAGGCTGTTAGGTATTCCAGTGCTGTTTGGAGGTCAAATGGATTTATAACGCAGTTCAGAAGAGTCAGTTCCTCTAGGGGCGATGTAGATGATGCTGGAGGTGCAAGGTCGGCTTGGGACAATCGGAAAGTAGCGCCAGTGATACAGAGCTTTCGTAAACCTGGATGACAGAAAAGTGCTTCATTGAAAATCGGTAAACATCTGCCGTTCATCTTAGGATTGTGCTCATTATGATCATAGTCGCTTCCGATGTGACCTGGTAACATTAGATTTTTTTTATTCAGTAGAGATAGTCAATTACAAGACTCACAAACACGCAAAGCGGGCAGCCCCGATGGGGTTTGAAGAGAAGCGTGCCAGAACAAGGTTTCAGCCGCTCGCTCGTAAGTAATCTCGTGATCTGGAGGACTGAACGACGATTCTTCTGAAGGCCCATACCCCAACTCTCGATACTCTTTCACGCTTCCTGATCCAGAGGCAATCTTTTTCACCCATTGTAACAGCGCGTCATCTCTGGCATGGGTACTGGCCCACCGAGTAGAATCAAAGGGCCTGGGATTCCTTCTCAAACTCAAGTTCTCTAGATTCGGCAAAGTCACAGCCATCTTGTAGAACTTGAGATGACGGTAGGACCAGACTTCTGACCCAGCATCCTGCTTGTGTCGAATCTGACGAATGAGTGGTGCTAACTCTGGACGCTTCTCTATCGTGAGAGCAAGACGAGCACCACTTTCAGAATTGAACAGGCGTACGCATTTGTAGAGCTGAGGGTCAATTCTGGAATAAAGTGCGGGGCATGTTTGAGCAAGTCGGCTCAGATGTTGGGCGGATTCTTCATCTTGTAGGTATTCAATGATGATATCCCACAGCTCCAGAGGAAAGACGGGTAGTAATGTAGATCTCTGGGCGAACGTTCGTTCCGTTGGAGTGGCCATTGAGGATGAATCAATAGGACTAATGATATATTGAATTCCGTATACACTTCGGAAGATGATGAGAAAGATGTGGAGTCCACGGGTGATGGGTTTTCTACTCTTTTTTGGCGGGACCCAGCTTCTTATCTAAGCCCCGCCTTCTGACCTGTACGCTTGACGCGTTTTCGCGTTTCCTGTCCTGTTTTCTTGAAAACAGATCTGAAGATATACAAGATTAGAAATATAAAAAGGAAGCTATTAATACGAGGAAGCCAAGCCGATATTCAATGCTATTCTTATGCGATACAAACGAAATTCAAAAAATTCAAAAATTCAAAGCTCTCCCCCCTTATAAAAGAACATAGTAATATACAACAAATGCAAACTCTCATGATGGCATAAATTCCGGGTGACATAGCCCCATCAAAGAAAATAAATCTATTCATCAACGCGAAGAATCAAATCATCGCCCCTCCTCGACGGCGTCAAATTCCGACTGTTCGGAGAAACCCGTTTCGACACAGCGCCGGCCTTCCTTTTCGGACTATCAGGATAATGCACATCTCCAGGATGCATATCTGAAGGATACGGCAGTTCCCCAGACGGTTCTCGGGACTTCGGCGGCGCGAGGCCGCGTCCACGCTCCAGCCATAAGTCATCTGGGCAGTATGGCGCGACGACTTCGCTGGGTGGTCGTGGACTGTTGCGGATCTGGACGCGTTTGATATCGTTTCCACGTACGATCCGCGGCCTGGATACTATCTCTGAGCCTGGAGGGAGGGTTGATGATGATAGGGTGGGGCAGGATTGAGGCGCCTGTCGTCCTGGTGACAAGCTGCGATTCTGGGGTTGAGCTTGCGTGGTCTTGATGGGAGCGGCAGGGAGAATGTTTGGGTTTGAGCAAGAGTATGAGGTTTGTGAAACTTGATAGGGTGTAGCGCTACTGTCTGTTGACGAGGTTTTGTAAGCTGGGTTGGCGTTGGAAGGGATTGCTAAAGCTTTCGGGGACCCGGATCTTCGTTTGAAATTGTCTGTTGAGAATCCCTCTTTGAATGCACGCGGATTGGCTGGCAGTCCTGCGAGTTTTGGTTGGATACCTGGCCTAGGGGGCTTGTTTTGCGTCATTTCTGCTGTCGCTGCCGCCGCTGCTTGTTGACTTTCGTCCTCTTCAAATAGAGTCTCCCCACTAGGTGGCCGATGACTCCACTTCAGCGGCTTCGGGTATAGTCCAGCTATAGGATCTGGGAGTAGTCGTGCTATGCTGTGCTGTGACGATTGTGTCCGAGGCGAAGTTTCCCAGTCCGAGTCAGAGCTGATGGCAAACCCTATTCGTTCTTGGTCTGTGGGCTCTTTGCTCTGGCCCAAGTGGTGGACCTTGGCATATTGCGGTGAGTATCGTGGTGGTTGAACGCTTGCCATTGAATGGAAAGTACGTGGCCGCTGTGCCATTGTCTCGCGGTCACTCGTTGGGCTGTATGAAGACTCTAAACCCAAGCCGTTCGTTGGGAGCCGTGGCATGGGTTTTGAAAAGTCTGGAGGCTCAGACATGGCGCCTCCGATCTCGAAAATGTGTGGTGCTGTCTGTTCCCGCTGTTTTCGTCGCCATCTCTTGCAGCAGAAAAATACAGCAACACCGATGATGAAAAACCCTGCCACGCCTGATGCTACTGACATTCCAATGATCGCCGCTGGAGTGATACCATGGTCACCTTTCTTATTCGTATCTTCAGAAGAGTCACTGGAAATTTGTCCGGTAGAGGATGTTGGTTCAACTTGAGACCCTGAAGATGAAGAAGCAGCATAGAATGTGATTTCAGACGTTTGACTAGTAGTTGACGTCGGTGTCGATGTTGATGTTGCTATAGATGTACCCATAGAGGCCTCGGAGGTGTGTTCAGTTGTCGAAGTAGAAATAGTTGGTGTTGTCTCTCTACTAGTTTTTGCATCACTCGTCTTCGTCGTACTTGTGTCAGAAAATACCGTCGCGGTAATCGTCTGGTGTGTTTTCGGAAGAGCTTCAGATACCGAGTCGCATATGTGATAAGCCTTTGACTTTGCGATGACTGTCTGTGAGCATACAGACAGAACACAGCTCAAAGCCGCTTCCCCCAATGTCAAGCTACTGGTTGTCTTGGTACGACACAGACACTTGATATTAGACGGTGACGTGCATTCAATGAAGGTGTATTCGGACATGATGAAGCTATCGACGCAATCCTTCGCACAGTCCGGGACCATGTCATATAGAGCTGAGTTTGCTGCATCGCTGGAGGCATTTTCGGCGGCAGAGCAGAGTGTGGATAAGAGGAGGATCGCGATGAGTATCCTGTGGATAGGAAGGAGGAGCATGCTGTGGTAGCCCTATACATGTTTATCATGAGCGACGATCTGTCATGTACATTTCTCCCATCAACTGACCTTGGAAATTCCTACATGGGAACGATTACCCGTGAAAGCTTGTACATGCGGTTACCATAGTTGGTAGATGTGTCTGCGAATTGAGTAGCATATGTGAAGGTAGTGAAATTCCAGAAAGAGGGACTCCAATCTAGTTAAACACCAAGTCAGAGCGCGACATCATCAGAGGCGCGAGGCAAAACTTTCCATGACGCCCATCGACTGTTGCGTCCAAGTATCTGCATTTCGACATCATTCTGAAACACAGTGCTTGAGGCTGTGTATGTATAGGCGCTAGAGTGAAACCGCATAAGATTCGAGATGGTAAGACCCGCCCACCCACATCCCCACTTCAGGAGACGAATCGTTGTAATGGTATAGCGCCCTATCAGGATGGTGGGCCTAGTAGGCGTCTCCGATACGCGCCGGGCCATCGAAAGCGCTTAGACTGCAGAACGAGGGGTGGATGGCGCCGGACTCGGTTTCAGATTTCTCAAACTTGGTGGACGAGTAACTGGATTGTTGTTTTGGGCAATCCAACCCTGTAACGCTGTACAGGGTCAGAGTACATACAGCGTTACGGCGTTGTGGTTAGTTTCGCTTGAGTTGTAGGCCCTCGCCGGACAATATGTTATCTGAGGATTTCTGGAACTGATTCGGAAGCTCGCGGTGACCCGAGCCCTTTTTCCTGTCGGGTTACACGTGGCTGAGATTCACAAGGCTCATTATGTTAGGATCATATTTTGTTTGGTCTGCCTTTTTACCAGTTACGATGGATTACTCCGTATATTGCATGTCCGTACTTAACCGCCTAATCTACAGGCGCTCCCTACTCACAGAGAACTCAGGAGGTTTATAGTAAAAGCCCATTCCCATGAATAATGAAAACTAGCCAACGGGCATTGATACGAAATAACGCAAAGTCAGACCGTATGAGCTGGTATCATTCATAACGAAAAAGCAAAAAAAAAACCCGCAGTATGGAGCAAGACAAAAGAAAAGAAGCAAAATAAAAGCATAACCATGCGACCACACAAAATATTAGGGAATTATGAACATCATGTCGGACTCGCGTCGGACCCGATGCCAAGTGGTGGAGGCTGCATTAGGCTAGTCTCAACCGGACCTCCACGGAATCACGCTGACACCGACGCCCAGAATATCGAATCGCACCGACCCCTACTCTCAAAGCGCAAGGCAAAAGCAAGGGCTTATGTGAAATTGATCGCAGTGCATTCGCGTTTTCAAGGGACATTAATCTTGGAGAGCGTTGGTTGCGAGGTTGTGTGGGAGGTGGGTATCTCTAGTATTTGAAGATAATGTAGCTATAATATGGTCAGCGGCTGTCACAAGATGCTGGCGCCTCAAATAAACACATACATGGCGTGGATAACACCGGGGATCCATCCCAGAATGGTCAATAGGATGTTGATCAGGAAATCAGCACCACATCCGCGCTCCAGGAAGACACCCAGAGGAGGCAGGATAATGGCAAAGATGATCTTGCAAATGTCACTATTGGCAGTATTAGTATACTGAGCATAATCCTACTCACAGGCGACAGTGCGACCTGAACAGCGCGACCTGGGAGGGCTGGGAGTGAGGGTAACAGGAGTGACAGGGCGACAGGGTGACAGGGTGACAGGGTGAAGGCTAGGACTTGAGAAGAAGCCATAGCCCATGACATAGAGAATGGACAACTTACGAAGCGGTGAAAGGCATTTTGGGCAGATTTGATGGAGGTTTTGAAATGTTAACGGGAGAAATGGGAAGGGAAGTGGAGGGAGGGAAGTCTTAAAAGGGGAGGACAAGGCTGAGAGCTTGGGTCAATTACATCATGGGCCGCCACCTTGGTGTGGCTCGTAGAAGAGAAAAAAACCACCAAAACCAAGGAAAAACAGCCTGCAAATGTGGCTTAGGCTATGCCCTGATTTGGCTTTTGACTTTTCTTGACATTTTAATTTTAACTTGTTTATCACTACTTCGTACGCTGTGCGACCTACGGAGTACAATTATTACATTGTCCAGGGTTGCCAAGATACTGATCATCTGTGCTGGCGGCTGTCAATGTCATTCCCCCTAATGTTCCTCACCTATCCCGTTCATTCTTTTGCTCGCTGCCTAAAAGAAACTTGGCACTAGGGATTCACCTGCACTTCAATTTCGAATTTGTCGATCGTCTGTGTTCTAAGATTTGACTGTATATGTTGTACAGTACGGGGTTCCTTGTTACCTGCATGTACGGAGTACATCCAACATATGCGCCCATGCTGCAGTTTAAGTTTCATAATGGTGACGATCTCTACAAACACCGTCATTTCTAATTTTGGCGTGAATCTTTACTTGGTTAGGCCTGCCAAGTACTTGCCGGACTTTGTACGGTTTGTAGTGCCAAGTCCCCCTAGATCGTGGTTAGACAGGCCAGACAGCTCAGCCCTATGATGGGCCCTTGCCCCCCCACCTGCCAAGGCACCTGGTTTATGTGGTTGGCGTTTATGACATCCTCGAAATTAAAAAGTGGCTGGGGAGCATTGTTAGTGACACAGCAACAAGATAAGCATTGAGGCAGTGAAGGGACCATGGGTCACGCGTGATGCCGAGTTCTAAAGAGGAAATTACCAGACTGATCAAAGTCGGGTTTACATATCGTTTTTCAGCCAACATCAACTGCATCTAACAAGGAGTTCCATTGCGGTATGTATGTAGATCTGGCGCAACAGCAACAAACTCCGACCAAAGCTGTTAACTAGTATGTACCAGCCTCCTTACCCAATGTCAGTGGTCAAGTCCCCATTGGCAGCGAGTCTACTCCGTAGTGTTTCGCGAGTAGCTACGTGGTTCTTTACTTCTGCAAGAGACCCGCCCTGCGGACCGGGGCCCCCTGCGGACTTAGATGTTCAGGGCCACTGCTTTTGTGGTGTCCACAGCAGCATCTGCATGTTCTTCTGAACCCCGTGGATTAGTGGTCTAGATTCCACTTCTTGCTCCACACGACAAGGACAGTCGATTCTACTGGTGCATTATTATAACCAAACAGCGCATGAATACGGAGTACATACTCCGTAACTGCCTCTTCAATATTCGCAATTTACCTAAAGCTTGGAAGCATACGGAGTAATTATAAGGTGAATAGGGGCTACCGTGTGCTTTTGGGTAGTCTTTTATCGATGTCATTCTGGTTATTCCGCTGTCCCTTTTATAGCTAGAAATGTGAAAATTTGGGTAAAATGAAGAAAATATCCAGATGACTCTGCAACATATAGAGTACCCAGGGAATATATATCGATGGACGGCGGAGGCTCTTACTTGAATGAGGCTAGCGTGCCATATTGAGTGGTTCACTCACAACCTTCGCTCTGTATCATAACCTTGAACAACTCAATCTAAAGCTGGTGTCAAGTATGTTGTGTGATAGTATTGTACATTGTGCATGATCTCTCCTGAGTACGGTGAGAACAGATGTTCCGCTCCGCGACTGACCCACTATCCTCCGCAATGACTTCCGCATTTTCCTGATTGGATCAGCTTTAATCTTGATATCTCAATGTCAATGAGATTCAAACAGATGAGGGTAGCCTTCACTTCCGGACGCTGGCAGCTTCTGGGATCATGCAAAGCCCCTAAAAGCCTCGGTCGCGCCAATAGATGGTATGCGACACAGAATTTGGCCAAAGGTGGCCGGCCCTTTGCGTACACATGGCTCACAAAGACAGCAGAACAGACAGTGAGCAAAATCAACCCCCTTACACCTTTGGAATCCAAGCTAAATAGTCCAAGACCCCAGATGATATTTTATCCAGTCTTCCTTCAGGGCCTGTGAGCCCATCAGCCGCGCCCGCTTCTGTCCCTCTCCTCCTCGTCACCCCAAGCTTCGCCCACTGGCTTGATTCTTCTAGTCCTTTCTTGTCGCAATTTCTCAGTCGCCTTTACGGCAACTCCCCAGGGAACGATACTCTCTATGCCGTTACAGCCGTAGTTGACGCAATCCCGAATACTACATCCGAAAGCCGCAATTTAAGTGAGTCTGAAGGGCTGTCGCTTCTGATAGTAGGGCAATCAGGCGTCCAGGCAAAGGCTGCACCACCCCGTCTCATCAGAAGCTCTGCCAGCGAGGAAACCAATCTCTTGTTTTCATTCCAAACCGATGTGATTGGTCAAACCAGCAAGGGACCTGCGCATGAGATTGGGTTGCGCCTAGCAAACACTATATTTGTCAATGGGAGGGAAACCACAATTTTTGGTACACGTTGGCTTTGGGATAAAACCTCAAACAGATATGCTTTGGACAATTCGGTCGATTTCACAAGCTGCATGCTTACAGCCACTTCCCAGGCTGTAGATTCTGCATTGGAGTTGCCACTGTACCCAGTGACTGGACGGCGAAGAGTCATGACTAGCATGGGAAACATTTTACGGCAACTAGCAAAATCGATGGATCTGACATCGACGGACACAATTCCTGCTTCGTCCGAGCTCGAGAAGGAGCTTCCGCGTTATATCGCAGAACATAATATCGTTGACCAGCGTGTATCCGTATGGGCACTTGTCGAGAAACCTGACTTGGAGGTGGCTGGTTCAGGCTTATCTACCCATGATCGCTTGATCCAATCTCTTCACCGAGGTGGGAAATTGCACCGTGTCATGAGCGGTGGAGGTGGATGGGGAAAGAAGCAGGGCCTTCTTTCGCTAGATCCTGAAGTCAGCTTCTCTGGGACTGCCAACCGAGACGATCTTGTCGCATTGACTCAAGTTTTGGATCCTGATATCGCACAGTTGGACACACTTCCTTCTATTGATAAGGGGATTACTGTAGATGATCTATCTCTACTTTCACAGGTTGCTACTGCAGGTGATTATATTCAGTTCTTTGTGTCAGTAGAACCAACTGGGTCGCAGATCAAAGTTCCGAGCAATCATGACTTGCAGGAAGAGCCTATCAGCTATCACTTTGGAATGGTAGCTGATTCTATGAAACTTGAAACACACCAAACGGATGAGGAAAACAATGGGATCATTTCTTTGCCTCACACCTTTGGCGCATTGTCCGAGAAGGCAATCGCCTACTCGCAGCCCATCAAGGGAGAAACACGGTCGGAGTCGTGCACGAAGCTGGATATTCCAGGATCTCGAGTTGTCCTCGAGACTGTATAAACAGCATGATACATGTACAATAATGCATACATAACCAACTGAAAAAACCTACCCCAGCTGAATCTAGTCATACATGTCACATATGCTGTAGTCATTACCTGTCCGGTGGATATGCCAAGACACCACACGTGACCCAGAGAGGCCAGCATGTTTGCCGTCGACCTCCAAGCCTCTGGACTCTTTCCATCCTCTCCGACCGCATCCAACTGAGCTCGCCGACCTCGGGTGTTTTTATTTCTTTTTAAAGGTCTAACTACTCCACGAAACCTCGCCGAGTCGTCTTTGATCAAAATGGCAACTGAACTTTGGTAAGTCGTCAGCTAGACCTCCCTCCAGCCCCTGGGTGCTCAACAGCTTCCGATCAACACCCTGTTATCAAGCCCGTCATCCCCCATAATTTATGGATCAGCCTTGCTAACATTTAGATTGACAGCCCCGTCTATGCGGTGAGTCTTGTTAAATGCTAGATCTCGACACCCGAGCACAACCAAGCCAATCGCCCGTGTCTCGGCCCTCCGCGTCATCCATCTGCTCACAATGCATCCGAATGATAACTAATATTTCTTCCTTTAGCCCTTCTTTGGCGCGCTGGGCTGCACCTCCGCTATCGTCTTCACCTGCTTCGGTGCCGCATATGGAACTGCTAAGGCTGGTGTCGGAGTTTGCTCCATGGCCGTCCTCCGCCCCGACCTGATCGTCAAGAGTACGTGGATCTCAACAAGAGCTCTGCCGATCTGGCAATGAGATACTCCTAGTCTCGCGCAAGGATATATGGCAGCAATTCGCTAACTATTCTCCAGACATTGTCCCCATTGTCATGGCGGGTATCATTGGTATCTACGGTCTTGTCGTATCGGTCCTGGTCGCCAACGACTTGACCCAGCAGCTTCCTCTCTACACTGGTTTCATCCAGCTCGGTGCTGGTCTGTCTGTCGGTCTGGCTGGTCTTGCTGCGGGGTAAGTTTCCTACACAGCGAATCGCCTATTGTTCTAAGTTTGTTGCTAATTGGGATTACAGTTTCGCTATTGGTATTGTTGGTGACGCGGGTGTTCGTGGAACGGCTCAACAGCCTAGACTGTATGTCGGAATGATTCTGATTCTCATTTTCGCTGAAGTCTTGGGTAAGTCGTAGCTATTCCTCATACCTCTGTATAATTGCATCTAACCATCCCTCACAGGTCTGTACGGGTTGATTGTTGCTCTTCTCATGAACTCGCGCTCGAAAGCAACCTGCTAAACGAAAGACCTCCCGCAGCATTCCGGGAATGTAACGTCGAATCGCTTCATGGTCCGCGCGCGATTCCTGGTTCATTCCCGGATGTGCATTCTCAACATTTCCCCGACGCAAACCAATGTGCCCTCTTCGGTCGGGGAAGCTGACATGATAAACTTGGTGCGGGGGCAGGATCGGATGATATCGGAAAATGTTAACGATTTCAGCCCATTTGAAAGTGAAGATTCGGTGATTGAGTGGATGTAGAACCGGGAAATCTGTTCAAGAATTCGTCTGGGACTCGGTGGACAGGTGTGGGTAGATATTGGATTTTTTTTGGCTTTACGTTGCATGACACCGCGCTGGACTTTGTACTTTATATGAAATTCGCTGATCGGGGACTTACGTCTCCGTCCTCTCTTCCATTATGGTGGTTTGGCAGGATCTTCTGTAAGGAATTTCTTGTTTCTTTCTTGTCCTCTGCCCTCCCTGTCGACATATGTTTCTTCTATCTCAGGGTTGCTTAATTCTTTTGAGTGATTTGGGCTTGGTAGTAGTAGTGTGCATTCAGCCCTTACCTAGGTACGGTGTTGTGACTCATAGACCTTGGATGTAACTACGTATAGATCTTCTTAGGCGTCGGAATATTGTGAGTGAGTTTGTAAGATATCATATTTACTGAGATAAAACAATACCAAATCAGCCAAAGTAGTAGCGCCATAACAGAAGCCGAGTAATTAAGATCTATTTGCTTATCCGAATGCATGGGAGAGTCAATGCCCACATCACACAGCAGCCAAAGACCGCAATCACTTCTGCGCAAGTTCAGCAGTTCGCAGCTAAAACACCAAGAGAGAAGAAGTATTTGTGTATTTGTGGATATTTGATCGAGTATAGGGCGAGAGAGAATAGATAAGGGAGAATGGAAAAGGAATAAAAAAAAATGTATGAAAGCGAGGATATATGCCCTGAACTCTCACAAGACTTGCCTCGACCCAAAATGCACAGACGCAGGCAAGATGCAACTGATAGCAAAAAGAACAAAAGTAAACCAGGAAACTTCAAGCACAAGTCTACTTGTCGAGTTTCCGTCTTAGAGTACGCGTTCTCTTCATCAGCTTCTTGAACTTGTGCTTCTTCATCTTAGCCTTGCGCCGTCTCATGGTGCTGATAGCATGCATGGTGCGGTTGTTGCGCAGCCGTTCCATATATGTCATACCCGCAGCGGAATCAGAGGGAGCCTCGATAGAGATCTCGTCGCGCATATCAGATGGGTCTTCCATCTCTCCGCTGCGAACGAAAGGTCCCGTGTGTGCCTCATAGGTCTTGCGGCCGTCGGCATGACGAGCCTCGCGAATAGTCAGGACGGTCGAGTAGGTTTGATACTCATTGTCGACCTGGGCATCGATGGTCTCGGCAGTCTCGGCAATCTCGGCAGCGGATGTGTTCATGGCGACGGGCGGGGGAGGAGGCTGGAATGGGCGGAGACGACGGGTGAATTCCTCCACAGACATCTTTGAGTCGGGGCCATCAAGCATGCGGAGTTCGCCGTCCTGTTCGCTGAAGCTCCGAAACTGGTCTTCAGACTCTGACATGCCTTGAGAACCAGTTTCCATCGACTGCACGGCCGATGAAAGAGTGAAGATGACGTCTTCCGGTTCATTCTTCAGCGGACGCTTTGACGAGAAGATCGCTTCGAAGGCATCGGTGCTCGAGGTGGGGGGCACAGTGGTCGTCACCGAGATTGGCCGGTGGATGGAGAAGAACGACGCTATATGAACATCTAGCAGCGAACAAAAAGAAAAGTCAGCTTCCAGTCATCTATTTGCGAGACAAAACCATACACGGGGCTTGCTGGGGTTTGAGTACTAACCATGTGGCTGTCGGTGCTGTGTCGATGGAACACTTGGGAGGTTGGAAAATGCCGTATGTTGACTAGACTTTGAAGATCCGTTTCGGGTAGAGCTATCCTTCCCCCGACGGCGGTTAGCCTTGCTCTTCTCGCTAGATGAGTTGACTCCTTTTGCCGGGGCAGAGGTGTCCATTCGTCGGGAGCCATCGCTGGGCGGGACGGGCGGTTTGGAGGATGAGGAGGAATACCGGCGTTGGTGCAGAGGTCGGGTTGCGCCGAGCAAGCTGCTGGTAAGATTTTGACCGGAGCGAGTTATACCGGAAAGCGGCATGGGAGTCCATGCCGCCCGGCGTAAGGATGTTGACAACATGGTTGGTAGATAACCCAGTCACTACTGAGAGGGTGAATGAGTCTGAATCGGAGGCGAAATCAGTCGGCCCGGAACTCGGGGTCACTGATCATGCGGATGTTTATGTAATATTGATGCCTAAGGCGTGACAAGTTATAGACCACGCAATTGTGGTTCCACTTGATGGGGGAAAACCCCTTCTTTTATACATATTGACCGTATTGTTTCTTCGGGCTATTTCAAACGGCCGGATGATTTGATAGCTAAACTTAATCTCTCAAGGTACATCAAGGCTAGAGTCCGAAAAGTGAAAAAAGTGCCCATAAAAGAGCAGGATGTCGAGTTCATTCAGAGATAAGATATAGTAAATAAAGACCCAGAATGATTGTGATAATACAGAGCAGTCGTTAGTAAACACAGCTGCAAAGACAAACAAATGGTATCACTATGCATTAAACCAAAAAATGGAGGAAAATGGGGATGGCAACGACACAGTCGCTAACCGAAACGTGGGCATTAGTTGGCGAAATCGGATAGGCTTTTGGATGCAACGTGATAGACCCAATGATGTGAGCAGAGAGCAGATAACAACCTCTCAGTCAAGACGCCTCGTTAAAAAAGAAATCAAGAATGAAAAAAAAAAGAAAATACGGCAATGATCACGAAGGAGTGAACGAATTGTAGCCGCCCTGGAATGCAACCGGAAAATAACTGGTAGGCTGAAGAGCTTGAGAAATAGGAAATGAAGTCCGAGAAAAAAAAAAGAAAGAGAAAAATCATTGTCAGACAGGGTCATGGGGAATGCCTCGGGAATTTGAGGGCCTCTGCCTTATAGTATTAAGGTATGCAGATTCTTCTGAATGATCATGTCCTGTACTGAATCCATAGTCGCCTTGAGTAATGTTGTATCAGTTGCGTTAGTGTAATGGATGTAGATTTCGCGGTCTGGGATGCGGTTGATACCGCGGAATCGGTCTGCAAAGTACTGTGCCGAGGAATCATAGTCGGTGTCCGAGCCGGTATAATCTGGGAAGTGTTTGGAGATAGAGGAGATGGTGAGCTTTCCTTTGAAGAGATCAATCTTGTTGAGGAACAGAATGATTGGTTTGCGCTTGAACCATTCGCCGTTGACTAATGATTCGAATAACATCATGGCCTCGTGCATTTGATTCTGTAAGATGTGATTAGCGGTGCTGGCGAGAGAATTGGGAAAATCATGCTTACAGCATTCTGGTCTTCGACTAGACATTGGTCATATCCAGATAAGGCGACCATGAACAATAGACACTGGACACCCTCGAAGCAATGAATCCATTTCTTCCGCTCTGACCGCTGTCCTCCAACATCCATCATGCGGAAGTTCATCTGCCCGAGCTCAAACAAAGTTTCCGTAATACCTGTCGTCCGAAGTCGAGCCTGCAACATGTCCTGATTATCAGGAAGCCAGCCCGGGGCGAATATGCGATCGAGAGATCCATAGAAACTGAATTTCATTAGTCCAAGCCCATGTAATATATCACCAACTCAACTTACTAGTGCAAGTTGTCATGGAGAGCAAATTCATGCCCTCGTGCAACAGCGTTCTGCACACCTTCATCCTTCCACATGGCCCTCATCGCATCGCGAACCTCGAGATTGGAGAAGGCTTCGTTGGATCCTACATCTGGGTCCGTATTGTCTAATAGGTCGGCAAATGGCTTTCAACCCTCGTTAGCTGATGTCGGGCTCTTGAGAAAAAGGCTGGTTAGTACCTTGGTCTTTTCCTCGTTCTCAAAATCAATATCCTCGGCATTCATGATATCCAACAAGACCTTGAACGCAATGACGATGTTCGAGTAGATTACGGCACGGGTTTGATGACGCTCTTCCTCGGGGAAGCCCCGGCTGTGAATGATTCGCATCTGCTTGATTATGGTGGACTTGCCGGACTCTCCCGCTCCTGAATATTCTATTAGTAACGCGATCCTGAAGCAATCCGACAATCAGCGACCGAGAATCACCCACCTAATAGCAGAATCTTGATGGTCCGGTCCAGCGTCTTCTTGTCATTCTTGATGGTCCGGTCAATGCGCGCATTGCGCTGGAAAGCATCCTTATCAACCTCCTCGGGCTTTGAAACCAAGCAACCCATGGTTTATGTCCGGTAACGGCAAACTACCTAGCGCGATGGTGGTTAGCAACGGTTTATTACAAGCTGAACTAGTTTGACAAGGCACTCGACGGATCAACGCGTTTTCAATCCGAGTCAGGGATGCGATTGGATTGCGCCACACGGGAGTCCGGTCGAAGCTCAGAGACAAAAGACTCGACTAGACTCCACCAGACTCGACAGGTGACTAGACTCTCTCCGCGCAAGGTGATAGATGTGCATACCTTGAAAAAGAACAAAATCCTCCTCTCTATTATGCCTAAGTCCAACTCCGACCCAACGTCGAATGACTGGCGTGTAACGTGATAGGCAGAAGCTTGAAAGGTTCGATGGGTGCTTCCGTTATTCCCCACACGTATCGACCACGTTCCGTTGCGAATTGAGCGGTCGTGTTTCCAATTGGACTAGGTTATCCTCCGAGACAGGCGCCAAACGTGAGCGACACAACGTCAGCCTGCCGAAGGCCGAATAGGAAGCTTGAAGGGGAAGGACGTTGGCGGTGACGGGGGGGGAGCCGAGATCGCGTTCCAAAGTTCAAAATATGGACATTTCCCGAGTTCTGAGGACAAAAGGACGTTTCGGAGGCTGAGAGCCGAGTTCTCCGGAGGGGAGAGGGGGCGAGAAATGGAAGAAATGGAATGGCGCATTCAGGTCGTACGTCTCTCCCGTCCCACGAGCGAGTCCACAAGCGGGGAGGAGGTGATCACCTGTCAGATATTCTGGTATTTTGTATACTGATTTCGGTATCTTTGACTTGAGTTTGTGTCAATGTTCGGTATTTGGAGTATTTGGAGTATTCTCAGGTATTTTCGCGTGTTCTTCAGGAAAATACGTATGTCCTCGTTATCATTTCCGTTAATTTCTTTTCCCTTGACGATCTCCTCTTTGTATTGGAAATACTACAAAGGCTTTACTTTTACGGACTCCATCCAAATCTTCACTCCCAGGGGGCCGCTAAACCGATCCACTATGGGGTGGGCGCTTGACCCCCTGTCTGCAGCATCTACGAGTTGCGGACCTATCAATTGTAAACAGATACTGCAGCTCGGTTGTTCTATTGTTCGATTGCCTTTTACCGACACTATATCTTTTACAGTCTGACAGGAGACATAGAGGGATGAGGAAAACTTAGGGATCCATCAAATGGAACTATTGGAACCGCTTCGGGTACTCCGTCCACACCCACACGTTGATCCAATCAGCAGAAATTCTGTGACAATCGAATTGTTTTTCAATTTTCCTTATTTTGTCTTACTTTTGCAAATCTCCTTCCTTAAAGAAAAGAAGAAATCGGCATGGAAATATGTACAACACCCGATGTACGCAATATCAAAGGAATAATGTACGAAGTACAGAGTACTCCGTACGAAATGGTGCATTCGCCAAGCCAATTCGGAATGCAAAGCTCCAGCGATCGACACGAAGCTGCTGAAACCCGCATGGATGTGCCACTGGCCAATGCAAGGGCCATCCTGAAACGTTGGCGGATTCCTGTCCCGGGTTTAACACTAAGGGTATGCTTGGATCACTATGGGCATTTGCTCTTCTTCTTCTTTACTTCCAACCGAGATGTTGAGTTCGTCTACTGGAGCTTATGAAATTCGGATTCCCCAAGAGAACCGTATGAATACATCTACGACCACAGTTCTACCGAGGTTCTGACGGAAATAAGGCTAGCACCGGAGTACAGCGCTTAAGGGGTTCCGCACAAACCAATCAGAGAGTAGAGTTCAAACCCAACATTCGACATTCTGAAGGGCTCCATCAAGAGAAACAGATGTTCGGTACGAAGTATTCCGTGGGTGGACCGTGACTATCGTTTCTCTTCGCCCCCAAGCACACAATTTCTGCCGTGCTTGAGCCGCAGATGTTGTATAGAGTATCTTGAATTTGACTGTGACGAGGATTGCGAGATGACCAACTGTGCTCAACGATTCATTTCTGCATATATGCAACCCCGCAATACTCAGTACTCCAGGCCCGTCAAGAGGGGGGACAAAGACTGATTGCCCCGTTCTACCGGCAGTTGGCAGTCCCCATTTTCAAGATATGATTCTCATTAATTGCGGGCAATATCACCACACCATCGTGCTAGTAAGGCAGGGGTGATCCTTCTGGGACTGGTCAAATTCACCTGTGGGGATCGATTAGGCTCCTAAAAGCCATGTCACATTTAGCCGGAATCCTAAGAATAGACCATACAACGTTCAAGTTTGTATGGGATGATCCGGATCAACCTGGACCAACCTAGTTCGCATCACCGAACAAAAATTCTCCTTGACTCGACATGGTATAGGAATCGCCATGCCGGAGATGCGATCGAGATTATACTTTAGGAGTATGAAATATGTACTCCGTACATAAGTACGGAGTACCCGGAGGGTCGATCTGTCCATGTAGGTTGCCCCAGCTGCTTACTGATGTAAAAGAACAGCCCACGGGTCTCATGCTCAAAGCCTGAGATTGGGTTATTTCCCCACATGCAACTTTCGAGGAATTTCCCACGTGTGGCATGTCTTTTCTCTGGCAGGTTTTTATATTATCCAATCCCCTGGCATTCTATTTCTGTTGTATGCATAATGGGTGTTCCGCTGGTATCAAGAAGTTTCAAATAAAATCGGGAGCTCACAACACAAATACCTCACACAGTACGGAGTATATTGTATGTATATGTGTTCCGTACTCCGTACATACCTAACAGATCCCTCTTAAGAAACGGGTATCTACCATCTTGCTAGGGATTTTGACACTAAGGCGGTGTGAAGGGCGGTAATTCGAAGCCTGGCAAATGGTCGAATTAGAAATCGGAATCCCCTTAATCAATTCCCTTCCCGGAGATAGTCAATAGGGTTTAGGTTCGTCAAAGCTAGACGCCACACATAAATAAATCTATCTATGAAACTACACAGTACTACTCCGTACGTATGTCAGGAACTCTGTGGCCGGTATCAAAGTTAACGGTAAACCTACCAACGGCCAAACTAGTACTCAGGGGCGTTGAATGACTCGAGCAATTTAAACGTTGTCGATCGGCATTTGACTGGTCCAATCTCTTGGTTTTCAACGTCCGAGCGTGAGTCGTTCGGGAATAGCTCCGGAGCTGATATACCTAGTCCAGCATAGCACTCGTTTAGATAGCGAGACCTCATTGGGTTTCTTTTTCGAATGTAATATAACTGCTTCGCTTCGCTCCGCAATGAGAATAATTTACTCCTCTTACTACGGAGTATATATATATTCATCCTTATCTCTCCGACGCACCCGTCCTTTATATAAACGTTAGCTATCGCTTCATACAAGTCTAACTAGAAGACAACGTAGAAACTTGACCGAGTCTAATTCTTAACCCAGGGTAGGGTTTTCATCCTAGAGGCTAAGTCAATTATTATAAACCTACTCATCTAGTTATTATCGGCCTTAGATACGCCCTTAGTTTTAGACTACCCCTCTTAAACCTCTATACATCGGGAGGACTTTAAGACTCACAAAAGAAAGACATAAGTATCGCTCATCGTGGCAAACGGCCCAAGTCATTCAATATTGGCTTCTGATTTTCCGTTCCTTGCAGTTCAACTTGAACGGGTCTTCACCTGGCCTCGGTGATTTCGTCATTTTAAACTGTATTGCTGTGTGAACTCAAAACTGATAGACAATTTACGGAGATCAGACTGCTAATATCGGTGCTTCCATCTTTCGTTAGGAGGGGATCAGCGCCATCGAAATCTCGCAGAAGTTTCTCGATAAGTTCAGCACGGCCACGGCCACGGCCCACTAGCATGGAGAATGTTACCGATACTTGCAGGGACAGCTAGAAACCCCGGGTTTGGATCTCTAAGAAGGGGATCCTTATTCAAAAGGTGATGAAATTTGCCGTCTGGTAGTTATGTCATCTGATGAACTCACAGGCTGGTAGCCCTGTAAAGTGATTTAGGGGATACTTGACGTTCGACAAAGGTGGAGAGTTCTGATATGACGGATGGACTTAAGTTTCGCAGGTCCGACAATGTAGTTTGTACAAGTCAAACAAATAACAGAAGAGAAAATTTTGAACTTGGATGGAAAGGTATTTTGGACCTTTGTTCGGGAACGAGACCACGGGGGAAGGAAGTTATAGGCTTCAAGTGGAGAAGAGAGATGTAGTAAAGTGGGGCAAATAAAGTGGGGCTAGCCGTCCTAGTCATGTGACAATTCGTGAAGAAGCGAAGATACGGCACAACTCCGTATATTGTGGTTTATTTTATTTTTTTTGTTTACTAGTCCCCATGCTAAGAGATGGGGAATACTCCGTACCGATACTTGTCTGTCGATCCTTTTCTATAAGGGGATGAAATTAACTGATAGCGTGGCAGGTTTCCACTAAATAGAATTCTTGCACGGAGTACTAGATTCTCCGTAGTTAGTAGTTACTCCGTAACTAGTTAATCAATTAAATAATAATGATTAGCAAATTTTCACTTCGATAGGAATCCCGAGGTCCACTGGTACTCTTCGCCAGTGCCCAGAGTGCAGATTGAACAACAGATGTGAAGCCTTTGTGGATGCCTCGGAGACAAATTGTTGGTGACGTCACTGAATAATTACAGAAAGAGACCACATTTCACAGAACCGAGTCTTAGTTATATTCTCTATACTCTTCAGGTCTACAATGGACCACATAAAGAAAAGAGCGCTAGTGGTTGTCTTCCCCATGTTCAACATCCTTGATGTGAGCGGTCCAGTTTCAGTACTCTTCAACACCACGGACTTCTCCGTGAGCTATGCCGCGAAGGATGAGCTCACAACGTCTCAAGAGAACACAACAATTAAGAGAGACATATCCCTCGCTGAAGCCAAACTTCATCTGTCCGACTATGACATATTGATCGTCCCTGGTTCACGACCAAACAATATCCTACCGCTTGTGGAAACCGATCAGGGGCCGTTATCGGAACTTGTCGAATTTATCACCTGTTTTGCATCCGACATGGACCAAGATAGCATGCGGCAACGTACTATTCTGGCCGTCTGCATGGGATCCTACTTCCTAGCCTTTGCAGGTGTCCTTGATGGCCTCACGGCAACCACTCACCGTCTTGCTGTCCCCGGGCTCCGAGACGTAACCCAACGTTATGTGGATCGAACCCCTGCTGCGAAAGGGACTCGAGTCGTCCCCGAAGATCCCTCGGATCTGGTTTCCTACCTGGATGCTGGCCAGAATCAGGCCGGAGTCAGAATCATCACGACGGGCGCTATGGCCAATGGCATCGATGCCACATTGCATTTTGTTGGCCTTTGTTCGGGTCGGTCACTTGCGATTGAGGTGGCGGAGCTCATTGGATATCGGTGGAAGGAGATCTAGATGTGAAGCTAGTGGTACAAGGAAAGCCATGGGGCAGGGTTGTCTTGGCAGACCTGGCTGTTTTCATACATTCGCAAGCAGTGCGGAATACGAAATCACCGCATAGAGTCTAAGGTCTGGTGTTATATGCCTGTTTGACGCAAACAACCACGAGCGCTTCTCTTGATTGCACGATTTGCCCTTATCAATATGTCATACTCAAAGACCATGCCCTCAATTTGCCCATTTGTCTACCTGGCCTTTTTGTTTGTTTTCTAAAAGCGAAAGTCCATAATCGGAGTTAAGCATATGCTAGCAATTGTAATATTCAATGTCACCCATATGCCTGTAGTATAATGCGGACCTTCATCAGACTTAAACGTAACACGAATGATGGGACGCCCCTAAGGCCTCCACCAATCAGATAGGTTGTAGATGCGACTCCACGCTTCGAGTGGGAAGTACATATTGCTTGGAATGTAATCACACCGGAAATACAGAACTGCAGGCCTTGAGTCAGGTTAAAATGCTTTAATCTATTGCCCCTCTCCCCAAAGAGAAGACTATATCCCAGTAGGTGTTCCAATTTCTAGAACCTTGACAAGTTGCTATAATTCGAGGAACAGGCGGTAAAGCTATAGTACAGACAGAGTAAGCTCCCCACATTTACCCCTCACGTTGACTGCAGCTATCAAGAGGTCTCTCAAGATTTCCCGTTACCTCTTGTTTGCAATGGCAAATACCATATTATCAATAGCTGACCTTGAGGAGGCGGCTTCCAACTCTCTACCCGTCTCTGCGAGAGGTATTTATTGGTTCCCCTTGTTGTTATCTCCGATATCTATCTTTAACACAGAGAAATAGACTTCTTCAACTCCGGTGCAACGAACGAAGTCACACTCCACGAAAATTATGCTGCGTATAGGAAGTACCGTCTCTTACCAAGAGTTCTGAGAAATGTGTCACTTGTCGACACTGGAATCTCCCTCTTTGACCGAGATATCACATTTCCGCTTTGTGTCTCACCCACCGGAATCCAGGCTATGGCTCACCCAGAAGGAGAGCTGGCCACAAGCCGAGCCTGTGCCAAAATGGGCGTCAACATGGGTATCTCCTCTTATGCCAATCACTCGGTTGAAGAGATCACCGCCGCTGGAAAAGAAGTAGGGTCAATTCATCATGTGATGCAGCTTTACGCGATGAACGACAAAGCCAAACAAGAACGAATCATCCGTCGGGCTGAGGCTGCGGGGTGCAAGGCTTTATTTCTGACAGCGGATAGTCCCGTACTCGGGGTGCGCTGGAATGAATGGCGGAATGGATTTATGCCTCCAGTTGGCTTAGGGTATCCGATGTATGAAAGAACATCTGCCGAGATTCAGCAGCAATCTCACGATGATGGGTTTAGCTCGACAAACTCGGATTCCCATTCCTGGGCCACGGAGATACCGTGGTTGCGCAGCGTCACGAAGATGGAGATTTGGATTAAGGGCATTCTCACTCCGGAAGATGTCGAGACTGCTATTGAATATGGCTGCGAGGGTATCATAATTAGCAACCATGGCGGTCGTCAGTTGGATGAGACACCGGCCACAATTGATGCGCTTCCTGCCTGTGCTAAAGTTGCACGAGGACGGATCAAAATCCATATTGATGGTGGAATTCGATCTGGGGTGGACATTTTCAAAGCCTTGGCTCTTGGTGCTGAATGCTGCTGGGTTGGTCGTCCTGCACTTTGGGGACTTGCGGTAAGTGCTCCTTGTTTATTCAAGAATCCTGATAGGCGGTTATACTTACTTTTTTGGTAGTATAACGGTCAACAGGGAGTCGAGCTGATGCTCAGGATCCTGTTCGATGACTTCAAGCGATGCATGCAGCTCACAGGCTGTAGATCGATATCTGAGATCAGCCCCGCAAGTTTAGCAGTTGTCAATGCATATGGGCCTTTGTCTAGACTGTGATCACTGTTGTGATTACATCTGGTGCCCAAAGCCTTATTTCCATACATGCTTAGCTGTTGCCACTTTTTGATCCCGGTATAATAATAAGGTTCTAAGCAAACGGAGCCACCTGCCCAGAATTGGGGGCCACTTGGTGGACCTTGCCCGGTTCCTAGTCCCAAAGGTGAGGCTTGTAGTTGTCATGGCTTGCATATATTTAATCTGCATCTCCGTATAAAGCATAGGCCTAAAACACCACTATTAGAAAAATTATGACGGATATAGACCATCTATGAAATACTGTTGATAGAACTTGACTATGACTCTTTGGAGGGGGCAAAGTTGTGAAAGTAAATGACGTTAACCACCTGATTTTCGACCACCTGCCTTACAACTAGCATTTCAACCACCAACTTTGCAACCTGCTTTTCGGTTCGTAAAGTTGGTAGTTGAAATGCAGGTTGTAAAAAAGGTGGCTGAGACGTAGGTTGACCAGGGGCAATCGTGAGTCTAGAAATCAATTGTCGATTGCCCGATAACCCTGAACTCTATCGAGGAATTGATCTGCGCTGATTGATAATAATAGCCCATTCCCAGGGCTTAGGTGTGGCTTAACTTATTGTAAGTTGAAAGTGTATCGTCCCGAGGTCACCTGCGGGGGCAAACCGCTGAGTCATCATTGGTCTCGGGACAGCTGGAGCCGCTAAGCTAGCCCCGAGTGTGACGCCATTATCCCGATCCCAGCTTCTCCTCATTGCCTAAGGAGTAGTAATATGCACCGAGACTCATTCAGTCCATGATCCTCGGGTAAGTATCATCTTCTCGAAACAGTCTATCATTTTTAAGCACGGCTCCATCATCATTCAGGTATGTCTTCATGTCCGGCAGCTATGAGGAGGTGCTAATAGCTCCTCTGGGACCATAGCAAACGTGACTCCAACGACCTCGTTGCCCAATATGCAGTCCGAGAAGGGTCCGCTTCTGGATGTGAACGAAGTCTACGACTCCGAAGACAATGACTTTGTTTCCAGCCACACCCTCGACAATAAGCTACAAAGAACTCACCCCTGCTGGGCGAGGGCCCTGAGAAAAGGGCTCTGCGTCTTTGGGATCACCGGTCTTATTACCTACTATCTAGGCTTATCGCATGGTATGAGCCCCCTCTCGCTATTATAATGCGTCACTAACATGATCGTCCATATGACTAGGCTCTCCGTCTACTGAGAAGAATCCGTCCCCACACTCGGAAGCCCCCCAGCTTTGCCAGTCACAAGAATGCATTCATGCTGCTTCCGAAATCCTCTACAATTTGGATGCCAACTACGAGAACATAGACCCCTGCACTGATTTTGACCAATATGTCTGCGGTGGATGGAGAGAACACCATGACATGCGGCCCGATCAGGGATCGATATTTGCGGGCACAATCATGGAAGAGAATGCCCAGACTAAACTTCGCCATATCTTGGAGCGCACAGAACCGCCGCAGTCTTCTGATGCTGATAATTTCAAGAAACTCAAAGCTGCATACGATGCTTGCTTGGACGAGGGTACAGTCATCAAACGTGGCAGCAAGCCTTTGACTAATATTCTGGATGAACTGAAAACTATCTATCCCGCAAAGGCAGAGGGTCTTGTGAAAGGATCACATGATCAACTCACCAGCGCTTTGTTATATCTGGCTAATGCTGGTGTCGAGGCTCTGGCTTCTTCCGGTGTCACTGTAAGTCTATGCGACCTATCCTTTATGGGCGCCACTAATGACCCCTTTAGCCCGATGATCGAGACCCTGATAATGTTGTTATCATGATCTCACCGCCTCGTGAAATCGGACTTCCGGCAAGAGAGTACTATAATAACACAAAGACCGTGGCTGATTACACGACCGTTTTGAAGCAAGTTGTTCGGGGACTTGCTGGAGATGGATTCGATAAAATTGCGGAGGATGTTGTAGCCTTTGAAAAGAAGCTCGCGGATGTGACCCCGGACACCCAAACCCAGGAAGATGTCACCAAATACTACAACCCCCTTAGTATCAAGGAAACGGAGGCGCTGGTACCTGAGATTTCTTTTACTGATATTATTTCATCTTTGGCGCCCCGTGACTACAAAACTGATCGCCTAATTGTTGGATCGCCTTCCTATATGAAGGCGTTGTCCGTTCTCTTGAAAAACACACCCAGAGAGACTGTTCTGCTCTTCTTGCAGTGGAAGCTCATCCAAGCCTTTGCGGATGTTATCGAGGATGCCTCCATTGAACCTCTTCGGCGATTCGAGAATGAACTCGCTGGCAAAGAGCCTCAGGCTAAGGAGGAGCGATGGCGTAAATGCCTTGGGCGTCTGGATGAAGGGCTTGAATGGAGTCTCAGCCGTTTCTATGTGCTTGATGCGTTCTCTGAGGACTCGAAAAAGCTTGGCGATCAGATCGTTTCCGATATCAAGGAGCGATTTATCTTCACACTGGACCAGACTAGCTGGATGTCCCCAGATGTGCGAAGATTGGGCATTGAGAAGGTTGGAAACATCATCCAGAAGATCGGATTTCCTACAAAGAGTCCCAATGTTTTAGACCCTGAGGATGTGAATAAATTCTATCGGGAGCTGGAATTGTCCAAGGACACATTCTTTGAGAATGAGGTGGCTGTGGCGAAGTTTCAACTTCGCGGCGAATGGTCTAAGCTCGGAAAGCCCACCAACCGCGACGAATGGGATATGAGTGCACCGACTGTTAACGCTTATTACAACCCGCCAGGTAATGAGATCGTTTTCCCTGCCGGCATTATGCAGCCGCCAGCGTTCTATGGACCTTCGGCTCCGCTGTATCTGGCATATGGTGCATTTGGTGCTGTGAGCGGCCACGAACTTTCACATGGTATGTTCAGTTGTCTGCAAACCTACTGCCATTTTCCCACTGACCAACGTGATATAGCTTTCGATTCTACCGGTCGACACTACGACGAGAGTGGAAATTACACCAACTGGTGGGACGACAAGACAGTTGAAGCATTTGAAGAGCGTGCTCAATGCTTTGTCGACCAGTATTCCAAGTTTACAGTCATTGGTCCCGAGGGCAAGGTCCTCCACGTGAATGGACGACTGACACTGGGCGAGAACATCGCCGACGCTGGAGGATTGGCAGCATCATACCATGCGTGGAAGAAGCACGATGAGGCAAAGCCTGATCTCCACCTCCCGGGATTGGATGCATTTACCAAAGAGCAGCTGTTCTTTATATCTTATGGCAATTGGTGGTGTGGAAAGACTACTCAGGAGGCGGCTGAGCGGGCGGTCTATAACGACCCCCATGCGCCCAAATCGGCACGAATTATCGTGAGTTTCGTCGATGCATTCCTTTCTTTGTGTTCTATCACTGACCGCTGTCACAGGAAACTATGGCCAACTCTAGGGAGTTCAAGAATGCCTTTAGTTGCCCAGACAGGAAGCCAGCTTGCAAGCTCTGGTAGTTTTGAGTAGTGCACTCCTGTCAATGGCATTCACTTTTATGAGTTTTTAATCAATTCGAGGATTCTGACTTCGTCACGACTGAAGTATCTAGCTGCGCATCCCATTTCATCCTTGCCCGGTACTTGAATGGATATTGATGTAGCTCGCTCGTTTTTCTCAACCTTTCAATTTTTTACCGCTGGGCCAGAAGCGTTGCAAGCTAAAATTTCTAACTTTTAGCGAGACCGAAGTACTTAACATATATTACTCATCATTTAAATCAGCAAAGCAACTCGTTGGCACCAACGATGTCTGATACATCACTGACTCAATATATGGATGCTAACGATGTCGGAGAGGAGGACCTCCCGCTCGGCCAAGATGCCGAAGCCCTTAAGCTGCTGATCTCCACAGCGATCGCTGCCCGAAACAAGTGGGAATAGGCGGACCAGGCAGAGGAAAAAGAGGTTATGTAGTTAGTTACAGAGCACGGAATGAAGAGTCGGCCAATGGATTTAGTTACCTAGATCAGCAAGGACCTAGCCCCCTCACTTCTTCAGATTTAGATGATTCTAGGTCCCTTTTTTTTTTCCAATGTCGACATGTCAAATCTTATGGACCAGTGTCAGTTTGATCGACAGCTGACATGTGATGTCTCACCCGTATGCTTGGAGGCCAGATCGACATTGAGCACTCCGTATGTTGTGCTCCGTACAGAGTCGACGAGATAAAGGATCATATGAAGCTAACCAGAAATAGTGATAATTACCTGACCTCCTGAAATTTTAATCATACGATCGTGGGACCTCAGATCCTCGGTCATGTGAGAGAGTCCGGCATTAGCGCTAGATCTATTAAGTAGGGCAGCCAATGGTCCCAGTTAGGGCGTTGCTGCACGGTAGTTGGTTTGCAATGAGAGAGGTCACACAGCCTGCAATCGTATAGAGACTTCGATGTACTCCGTCCGAAGTAAAACATCTGAATTGATCGACCCAGATCCGGGATATGTCAGACAGCCGGTAGCTCCGTCAATTTCCAGTTTCGCGTCACTCCATTACGGACGAGTCAACCAACCAGAACCCCTGCACTGCCAATTTTACCTACGAAGTGCGGTACTTTGGAGGTGGTTTTCGCTTTTCACCGGCCTTCCGGAACGTAGTGACCTATCAGCTCTGGCGTGATTCGTAGAAAGAAATGAGGGATGAGTAGTAAGATATTATTCAAGTACATGTATATACCCCGTACTCCGACTCCTCCGGAGGGAGAGTCAGGTATGTATAGAAAATAAAGTAAGTAAAAGGGGCTGGACAGTTCTATGGAAGAACACGACCCAGCGTTCCCACTTGTGTTCTTCCGCCGCGTCGGGTCATCTCCACAAAAACAAGAGTCGGATTTCTTCCCTTTTTTTCCTTTCTAAATTTCCTTCGACCTCATAAGTCATGTATTACTTTGTATGATTTTGCCCTGACCGATTCCAGTGGTACAAACCCTGGCCCCGTCGCCACGGGAGCATTTTGCGCCGTTCTCATAGCTCTCGCGCCATGGAGCCCTTTCCTCCACCCGTCGACCCGTCGGAGTTCAAGGATGCCTTTCTGGGCCCGCAAGTCCAAATCAATGAACTGCCAGCCTCAAATCAAATGTCTAGTGGAGGGCCCCAGAATCCAATCCCGAATCTTCGCCGTGCCAATACTGTAGCTCAGACCGGCAATGTCAAGCGGAATCTAGAGTTGAAGGCAGCTCGCGAGAGAACAGCAACTGGGATAAGCGCCAAGGATAGCCATGAGCCTATACGACAGAACAAATTACAACGGTCTCAAACACATCGTGGCCCCCTAGAGGCGCGTTCACCTGGGAGGAAGGCCGGCCATTTCACCGTAAGAAGTGTCGGCCAAAATGGCAAAATATTTCTCAGGTACACCAATCAATCCATAATTCCTCGTGCTCGGTCATATACTGTGCAGCCTGCTGATAGTAGGACTATTTCAATAATTTAGGCCGATTGCCAATCCGCCCCAGACAAGCCCACAGCTTGCATCCTTCTCTCCGGTTGATACCTCGAAATCCAGTCCCCTTCAGCCGCAGTGTCATGCACATACCCGCGAGGACGCAAATCCTTTCAGGTGGTCGAGCTCCCAACTATCCGAGTTACGCCCGCGCCAACAGCCCGAAGATCCCGACCCCGTCCTCGCTGTGTCTCCTCCCGAGCTCTCGAACCTGCACCGCACGAGACCGGTCTCATTTTCGACGATATCGGACCAGCAATCGATAGCCGGTGCTGGGAAGCGTGGGGAGCTGCGGATTGTCATCGATAGATCCGAAGACCGCCCCAAGTCTGCAGGTGAGAATTCGACACCAGCATTGGAGGTTCCTATTCCGCGTTATCGGCTTGGGTCGCCGCGATTCAACACCGAAGGCAGTGCAATAATGCAGAGTTCTGTCTACACGCGAACCTCGATGTCGGATAACTTTCCAGATTCGACACTGCTTGGGGGTAGAGCCGACCCTCTACTGGGACTCCATAGTCCATATCCCCGAGACTCTTTCTCGCGGCATCGGCCGTCTTTTGCCATTTCGATGTTCTCAGGAACCGCGGCGGCTATGGACATGAACCGAGCTGAGCCAGTCCCGAGGAATTCTATGGTCTATGAACTGGAAGAGCCGGTGGAGCCATCCATTTACGAAACGCTGGTCTATGATATGGATGATGGGTCGGTTGTCCGATACATTCCTGGGACCAAGGATATCAGTGCTGCCACACCTGCCCGAATCGTTGCACAAATCTCCTCCGAGTCATTCATGGACTATGAGCTAGTATCGGACTTCTTCCTTACCTTTCGTTCATACCTATCTACAACACACCTTTTGGCTCTTCTCCTTGCGCGCTTAAAGTGGGCAATCAACCGGCTACAAGATGATGGACGCATTATTAGGATTCGCACATTTGCGGCTTTGCGACATTGGATTCTCAATTACTTTGTCGATGACTTTGTTACGAATTACGAGCTTCGGACCCACTTCTGCGAGACCATTAACAAGCTATATTCAGAGGTCAGATCTCGACAACATGGCGGCACGAGTGATCGAAAGATTCTTATTGACCTGAAGCGTTGCTGGAATGGCAAATGTTCGGTTTATTGGTCTTCCCCCGACTTGTCTCGTGCCTATAACGACCCAGAAATATCAATCGTGCCTGGAGATGCTCAGATTGAGTTGCCTAAAGTTGAGGAACTGCAGAAAAACGTCCCTATTCATGGAACGACGCCCCGTGCAAACACCACATTTCGGGAAAGTCTTGCTTTCCCCATACAGCATGATCGAAATGATTCTGCAGCAACTTCACAAAGCATTCCATTCTCTGACAAAAGCGAACAGAGCTTGATGGCACTCTCGTGTTCATTACCACCTAAATCTCCCAGGCGCTTTTCCATGTCTGCCTCGAAAGGCAAGGCACCCCGCCCTGTGGTATTGGGTCTCACAAAGTCCAAGTCTCCGTCTAGGACTCATGAACCACCTAGGTCACCTGTATCTTCCATGGTCTCCCGGCACCCATACACCAGTCATAGCCATAAAAGAAGCGGAAGCTTCTCAGACTCGGTGCGAGATGGTCGACTGCCAATTTTTGCGATGGAGCCTGAAACGGGACCCGCACCACAGGAGATGCTCGATCCGGTTAGTTTAATACGTGGAGAGATGTACCCTCCTGCAGAGTCGTATATGACAATGATGGCACCGGAGTCGCCGCCTCTTCCTCCGCCGTTGAAGAACCTAAATCCCGATCGTCGGAGTACACCGGGTGTGCCTAAGTCGTCACCTAACTCGGGTATGAGAACAATCATTGGCTCAATCAAACGAGCGCTGCACACGAGGAACGGTGGGCAGAGCGTCTCTGCTCGCATTGCGAATGCCCACGAGGCTATTTCATCGCCTTCCCGAGGAAAGACGTCGGCGATGCCAATTGGACTGGCTTTCGGCTCTGAATTCTACCGGGAGAGAAAGATGGCTGCCACTCCTAAATACCCAGGTCGAATTGATCTACTATGTGACGAGGTCCTCAAGCAATACCGCTTGGCCATGAACCAGGAAGGAACGAAAGAGAAAACCCAGCCACCAGCTGCTTCTGACTTTCATCAAGTGACCCCACAGGAGCCTGCTGCCAACACTTCTAATCTTGTACCGACGCAAACCCCCAATTCCGACTCCAAACTCAGGAGCGGTATCACCATGGGCAGCGAATCAATCATTATAGTTGATGATACCGGTTTCGAAATGCCCTTTATGTCAGGGGCAGCACAGGAACCAATGCCAATTGTTAATGACAATACTTGTGAAACGCCGGAACTCGAAATGCCCGATAACGCCTCAACGCAATCGATACCCGTCGAAGGAGAACATCTCCGGCCGGTCTGCTACAATGCCGAAAAATCAGTTTCAGCTGCTCAGTCGAATATGTTCTACCCCCTTCGCCCTCTTACGCCACAGAGATCGTCATCGGCCGAACGCGGATCGATGCCCACAAGAAAGAAAAACAATTCTCTATCTCTCCGACTCAGAAAGTACGCGTCCTTTCAAAGCGGGATCTCGAAACAGCGGTTTTCGATGGGCAGCGAGACGGCTCAATCCACTATTGACTCCTTGGCGATGCAAGATCAGAACAACAAACAGTCAGGGCCAGTTCTTCGCAGGCGTCGAGGTGGAAACCTCCGTCAAATGCAGAGTGGAGATGAGGCCGAGCCTCCTTCCTGTCGTGACTCGTTTGCGTCTTGGGATGATTCAGCCGTGGATGAAATGGGTAGCTCTGATGGCGGTGTCTCAAGTCCTCCTTCGACATTGATACCTCCAAAACCCCAATACTCACTTATCCAGCCGCGCAGTTCTCGGCAAATTAGGCGTTCCTTTGAGTCGGTCATTGCGAAGTTTGCACAGATTCCTGATGATGGCGACGGTGGTATCGAGTCAACGCTGTTGAAGCTGGAGGGAAAATGGGATGGACCATCCAGCGCCAATCGAGACGATTCGTCTG